AAAAAAGTTGAAATGCTTTGAGTAAGTAAATTAATATATAATTAATTAATAACAGAAAAAATATATTATTTCACTCTAAGAAACTCAAAGCACTCGGGAGGATCAAGTCTGTCCCATAACAAGGGTAAATAAATGCCAGTAGCAGGAAACATGACATAACCCTACCCCAATTACACAGCAGGCAAGGTTGCCCCTATTATGTTACTGGTAGTAGTAGCCGACTTATAGCATGTCTTGGGGCTGCTCTTTAGCTTCAATTTACTATGTACTTTTATGCGTATCTGTACTGCGTTCAAGTCGTGTGCTAAATTCAGGAGGTATGTAAGAAAGGCAGGATTGGAGCAAAGGAAGCCATTGAATAAAGCAAATGGGAACCAGACACCACGCTAGTGCTGTGATGACAGAAGTGAATGTGATAACTAACACAAAATACTTCAGGAATGTATAACTCCTTCGAGAGCAAGAGCTCAGCAGGTCGTCTCTCATTGGAACTTGCAAACGACTAAATTCTAAAGTTGAAATCATTTATTAGAAACACAACAAACCTTTTAGCTGCCTTTACAGTTTTTAATGTCTCTAAATTCATTTTGTTTCTGGCAGAATTCACCAATAACCTAACCTTTCGCAAAATACTAGGTTTCAAATGTAACGATGCAATGCTGCCATGGTTCTCCACATTGAAAAAATTCTTTCATCGATCGATTAGCAGAGCACTTCTTAAAATGTTAAATAATACAATGATCATGTGATAATGGTCTTAAAACTCACCTTTTGCATACATTCCCTTGATAAGCCATAAGATGGACCTTTGTTTGCCATATTTTCATCGATTTGTTTAAAGCGCAAACCCCCTACGTCCTGATAGCACGTTCAAAGCGCCGGCGACCTTTTAGCTTCCCTCTCAACCACTTGCAGCCGATAGAGGGCGCATGGATTGGTCTATTCTAAAAGAAACTAGGGTTAATAACTTTTACAACAGTTCTTTGGAAAATGAAAACAATCTACGCAACAGATAGAATACTGGAATTCTGTTGTTTTTTAGTTCTATATTCTGTTTGGTGCATTTAAACCAACTATAAAATCAAAACTTTAAAATTTTATCTTGTCTGAGGTCTTGTGAAGTTGGAGAACCAAAAGCTAAACACAATGTAGAATTTTGGTGCCAATTTTGGTTGGGATTCTGTTTCATTTTAACGTTTCCAGTTGGCTCTATATTTTCAAAGAATGGTAAGAATGCCCTAAATCCTTTTATTAATATCTCTGAGAAGCCTTTGACAGCAAAGGGATTGAAGGCAAACGTAATTATAGAGTACAGTTAAATCATTCATAATAATTCTAAGATAATAATTCTAAGATATAAGATGTTCGTGTTTAAGTCTGAGTTTTCTTGGAGTCAGAAGTTCAGTTGAAGGTCTTACCTATTTGTAAAGGTCGTTTTATCTGCTTTTCAGATTCATGGAACAATTTAGATGACAGTCTTGTGCTGTCTGTACTATGCTTCTTACCAAAATTTGAAAACATATTTGCATTTAAGTTACTTATAAAGCGAGCAAGGATTCTCAGTAACCAATATAAACCACTTCAAAAAGTTTCTTACATGACTAAAATCAAGTCGACATACCAAGTCATAAACAAAATTAATCCCTTATTCTGCCAAATAAAAAATTAAAAAATGGACTTATGTATCTGTTCCTTCAATTTGTAAAAGTCTATATATGACTGCATACTAATTCAAATGAGATTGCTGGGAGATAGCATAGAAAGAAAGCAAAAAATATTTGTTCAAAAATAATTTAAGGGAAATATGAAATATTGCCCTTTGGTATTTCTCTAAATCTTACTTTTTGCAACTACATGGTTGCATTTAGCTCTATTTTGTGGTAAAAATTTGACGTAAAATGCATGTTAAAAAATCAAATAGCTTTGAGAAAAGTATTTGTATTCAGACCAATATCAACTTTTTAGTTTCAGATAGTGTAGCAGACCTAAGACTGTGCTGTGTCCAATTTTAATATATACAGTACATGGTCTTTTTTGGGGGTTTTGACAATACAACTACTACCACCACCACAACACAGTAACAGGATGATGGAACCAATTAGCATTGATGATGCTAGTTTGCTGCTAAAGTTCAAGTTAGTAATTACTTTTGAATTTTAAAATACAAGCACTATTTCCAGAAAACCAATTGTTGAGTTGAAAGCAATTAACTTGCTTGGCAATGGTCTTGTCCAACACTTAGTGGCTAAGAAGATATAAACCTTGTAATAAGTTTGTCCATCATTAAAAATAGTTGTATATACCTCTCCAGCATAAAAATTAATAAAAATATGCGGAGTGCTTATGCATTAATTTTTATGTTAGTAGCCCTGTAAATAAGCCCCAAAGTAGCTAATAGATAAGTAGATAGACATAAGGAGTAAATATACTAATTAGAAGAGGAATTTAGATTGAGTTCGCAATGTTACTTATGTGATGTAAATATATTTTGTAGGTCGAAAGTAACCTTGAAGAAATGCAGCATATTTGGCAGTGTCAATGCAGTCAGTGAACTAATTCAGTAAGTATAACCATCTGGAGTGTTAGTAATTTAATGAGATTTATTTTAAAGGATTATTATTGACAGTAAATGTTATATTCTTTCATAGCATTAAGTGACAATATTTGCTTGGGTACAGTATATAAATCATAGTTAGCTTGGACTGGGAATGTGATGCTGCAGCAAACTAATTCATTTAATCAAATCTTTTTCTTTCTACTTCAGAATTAAGGGAAAGACTATGTTTCTAATTCAACTCAAATCAAATAAGACAGAGAGGACAATAAACATTGTTGTGACAGTGAGTTGTGGACCGTCTTTTAAAAACAAGAGCTAACGTTTTTTCTGATTGTGCTACTTTAATTGTAATCATTTTTTTTTTCTTGTGCATGAAAAAACAGATGGACTGCTACTTTGATTGTTTGCCATTGAGTACCTGAATAGAGAGCATAGAAATTCAATGAGATTCATTTTGTAAAAGGTCAAAATTTTATTTGTGAAGCAGGTCATTATGATTTATATGCTCCTTATTAGCAATTAAAATGATAATTATACGATTTTTTTTAGGATAAAGACTATTTACATTGGAGAGAGTCTATACAACCAAGGAGTAGTTATCTTTTCATCAACTTGAGACCTACAACTTTGAGTAAGGTAAATATTCAAACCAACTGCACAGAGATTATTGTAATCTTTTATTATTTTTAAACAGGTTATTTATCTAAAGACACCATCATGTTCATGAGCAAATAGCTCAATTTAATACTTTTTCTCAGTTTTATATTGATAAGGTAAATGTGAGAGAAGGATCACTTCTTTGATTTAGGGCACTCCTGATGAGCAGCTTGTTTATGTACCGTATGGTGACAGCAGTGTAAGGACTGCTGAGAATGTAAAGGTAATTAGTTTGCAGGTAAGTTTAATATCGCTTTTGAATTTTACAGGTGTACTTGTAAGTTTTTTAATCTTTAAGACATGTTTAAAAAGTATAAAGATCATTTCTGCACATTTTAAAAGTTTCTTGGCAACTGATTTTTTTTGGTTTGAAAAAAAATATAATTTATATTTTACCTGAAGATAATTATTTTCACGATAAATGTAAATTGATTTTATTTCATATTAAAATTTCCAGGAACTGTTAAAGAAGTCTGGTGATGCTTCCAGCCTTTCAGAGTGTGAGAATTTAGAGTGTTTGGAGACAACTGGTGAGAAGACAAAGAAGTTGTATGATTATCAGGTAATATTGTGAACATTTATGAAGTAAAGTAAAATGAAAAAATTACCTTGCAGGAAAGGTTGAAATGTCATGCCTCACAGGTACAAAACATTAAATCTCTTTAGAATTCTTTTACTTTACTATTAAAAAATGACATTGTACATATTTTTACCTTTTCTTTTTTTTATTTGTTTATCTTTTTCACTATTAATAGAGGCAAAGCACGTTTCACTAAGAAGGGGTCCTGTCATTTTGTTTACAAGGCCTTCATGATGGTAGCATACCTGAATCCATCCCCAGACATACCTAATGCTCTTAGTGTGTTTTGACAGTTCATTTTTTTTCAATTTCTACAGGGCACTATTACAAGCACTTGCAGGGCAGAACATGGGTTATATGAGCTCGATGGCAAAATTGGGTAAGTTTTTGAAATATATGATAATCATGCAAAATATATGAATACATTACATTAACAATGTGCAGTCAATACACAAAACCTAAATTAGTTAAACAAAATGTATGATGCAATCTAAAGGTAATACTTTTCTCAAAGATCAAAGTTGAAATTTTTCACACTTTTTTAGATTGCAGTTGACATTTATTCCTGCAGTTCATCAGTACAAATTTTTGAGTGTGGGAACTAAAATTGTGGTGTACAATGCACATCACTGTGTCGCTGATGAGGTGAGTCCTCTAACTTGGTTTTCTCAAGCAAAGTCTAATTTGAACTTTTGGGAATTGCTCATAATTTTTCCTCAGCATCCATTTGTTAATGTTTTTTATTGCAGTGGTTGGCCATTAAAATACAATAGTAAAGTGAAGGCAAATGTAACCCTATTAAAATTTTTATTTGATAAGTATCGATCATTATTCTATATCCGTACTGTAAGTTTGAGGTCTGATAAAACATGATATTGATCAGTGACGTTACCACCAAACATTACATTGATTGATGACTTTATGGTCAATTTTCTGATCATTTAGAGAAAAGAAAACATCATCATTCAGACAACAGCAATATCAAATGATGGCAATTTTGCAACTTTTGATGTAATCTTGGAGGACATTGAGATTCAAGTGTTTTTATATAATAAAGCAAGCATCTGCTTTAGCTTTCAGTCAATATATTGTTTAGCAGACCTCAAAGAGTGATATCAACCTCAGCTTCCCCTCAGTTGATGTGAAATTCAGTAATTGTATAGTGTATTTTTATGTAAGAAACTAACATATGAACTCTGTTTTCAGCATCCCAAAATTCGGCTGTGTTGTTGCTTGATTAGCAGCATTCATGTTTTAGAATGCCCCCCATCCACTGTCCAACCTGCGGTATTTAGATTATTTAAAACTAAGATATACAGTACTAAATTAATATGGAAGTGGTTTTTAAGTGCATATTTTAATACAAGAGGATTTTTGTTTGTTTAGTTGTTGTGGAACATAAATGAAATAAAGGTATACATGCATAATCAAGAACTTGCAAGGTGAATGTTAAATTTTAGCATTTTTGAACATAAGTCATTGAATGTCATTGAAAAATGAATGTATTATTTTTATTGTATACCTCTTTCTAGCCATATTATCACAACAGAAGCGTGATAAGTCATTTGTTGAACTACTTTAACCTCAATCAAGCCCAAGTACTGTGGCTGCTAAAGTGTGAGAAAAAACTGAGGCAAAAATTTTGTCCTGATATTCTCAGGTTTGTTGATGACAATAACAGACAGATAGAAATATTCACCTTTCAGATGTTAATTAATTCTTTAATTGTTGTAACAAAATTATTGGTTCTTTCAGTAAATCAAGGCTTTTATGTGTGATGTAAGTGATTTGTTACCTGTATTTAATAAAACTTATAAGATATATAATGATAATTTTTTTGATACCATTATTCTTTTATCTTTCAGTGTCAATGAACTATTGAAGGTTGGAGTGAAGGAAGAAGATGGGTATTTAATTTTTTTTCCCAAAATTGGTCTTCTTACAAAAGTCTTTGAGTATTGAACTTGAGCCATTATTGTACTGCCAACTGTTGTTCATGCCATGCTGCTTGGTTATTAGCATTTGTATTATAGTAGTAGTAGTTATTTAATTATTTATTAGTGTGACATGTGACTATATAACTTTATAAATCGATTGGGCATTTTTTGGAGACCATTTCATCCATTCTGTTTTTGATTAACCTGCATACAGTATCAAACACACCATCTCCATTTTGTGGTGTACTGTACCTGGCTGTACATCTTAGAGTATTGTTTCCTTTGAAATTGATCCACCCACCCACCCACGTGTATGTGTGATAACTTAATCGTGCCATGATGCCTGGGTGTGTCCTATTCTGGGGTGTGCTTTTGCTGTTTGTTCCATATGCTACCATCCATGTCAACCTGAAGCTTGTGTCCATGTGGTAGGATTCATAGAATTTCCTGGGCTTTGCTCTCTATCAGCAGTTCAGTTTTAGATTAAAATGCATGGATGTACATTCTCTTATACCGTGTTGAGTCTTGCAGTTTTTTCTTCTTCTGCAGTATGACCACTCTCTCGTCTGGGCTTTTCAGGGTCATCTTGATTGGACAGTTGGTTTCGCATGTAATTGCCTAGCAAATATGGTGGTAACTTCCCCCACCGCCCTAAGCAGATCCCTTGCCTTGCTTATAGTCCCCTCACTCTTCTCTGACAGGATTAGACTAACAGCTATTGCCAAGGCGGGTCTGAATGGGTCATACCATTTGCTGCTAGCTGCTGATTAGACTCTTTCCTGTTAACATCCTCCAAACTGTCAATCTGCTCTTGCATTGCTTGTAAGTTTATTGTGTATGGATACATGCTGCTTCTTTACTGATATCAATGTTAATTTCATCCCTGAGAACTTTGATTTTATCATTCATATTCATTAGGACCTCAAGTTTGAATTTTGATTCAAACATTTTCTTGAGTGTATTCTGGTTTGTTCTCAGCTCCATGACCACTGTTATTAATTTATTGCTGAGCGATTGCTCGATGGTGGTACCAACTGGTGGGCCAAGGTGTGGACCTTGAAAAAAAGCTTCAGGTGATACATTTTGGGTTGATAAAGAACCTCATGTGTTTTATGTAATATATCACTGACTTATTCGTTTTTGTAACTTCTATGTAGTGGGTATATCCAGCTTTGTCTTACTACCACTGCTATTACTCTAGCTGCCACTTCCACCACTACCCCTGCTTTTTATTTGCCTTGTGTCATGATAATGTTGTTTCATGTAATATTAACAGGGAGAGCAATGGGTTGTGAGTAGTCTTAGCTTTCTTTTCTGTCTATACAGGCTCACATGTGGAAATTTTCGCGGTATTATGTAATCATCTGTGCATCTGATATGGTTGCATGGGATACCTGTAGGCTGTATGCTTTACCATTGCCCTGCCCTTGATTTATAGTATGATTTGTAAAATGTCCTTTTTCTCTATTCCTGCATCAAAGTTGCTTCTGTACTTGGTTTCAAGACTATTGTTGCACATTTAGCAATTTATATGCCTATATACCAGTTATTCCTGAACTGATTTGGTATGTTTCCAGCAGTGTGGGTTCTGGTGTGTTTTCCATGCTGTTCACCACCAAATGTCCAATAAAAGGGGAGCCCTTATTATGCAGAGCTAAGCGCAAGATCCTACAGGAATTCCTTGCCGAGAATCACAAATGTGGAATTACAGAAAGGACTGTAAGTAAACTATTATTAGCTATTTAAATCATACAAAACATCATACCATTCTTTAACAATCTGTAGGAACAATCACTTGGATGTGAATGCATGTCTGGTTCTTATTTACGTATGCAGTATTTACTAGGGGACACATATTTTTGTCACTATTATCATTTATCATTATTGTGAACATTAGCACATGCTGTACACAATTGTCATTTGGAAAACAATTTTAAATGGGACAAAATAATTTTTTTCAACACTACAATGAGTAACCTATGGCATGTATTTCTGGCTTTACAACAATCTCTGTCCTATTTTTCAACGGTATTCTATTCAAACAAAATACTTTCAGCACATGTATATTAAAAAGTAATGTGTAAATTCTTTTAATTGCACTGCTCATGGCAACTTCTTATGACTTCTTTATTTAAGGTGTCAAAGGAATCATTGCACAGAATCCGTAGCGTGGCAGAAATAAACCAGGAAGCTGTTGTCACTGCTGGGAACTATGTAGACCTCAAGAAGGACATTGTGGCCAAAAATATGACGGCAAGAGATGCAACAGAATATGTCTACTGGTCACATTTAGTATTTGAGAACAGTGATTTTACTCCACCTTGGGTAATTAATTGAGTGTCTTTTTAATCCCCAGCTTCGATATAAAAGCATATGGCTTGATTTAAAAACTTTGAAAAAAAAAAAGTCTTGTAGATGTTGGTAAAGAAATTATCATTCTCATGGAAAGATGTTATTTGTTTACAGCAGTATCATAGTCACAATTATCTCCTACTAATCTGTACACTCTATACTCACAATAATAAGTATAGAAACTACTACACTGCTTTTTCAGATTGTTGTTGGAGTTATAGAAACTTGCAACAAAACTGGGCGTTTGCAGCTTCGGGATCAAACAGGGAGCATTGATTGTCTCGTTGCTCAATATGCATCAGATTCAATGGAATATCATTTTTGCAATACAGATTGTGCCAGAGGGAAAACCATGGCTCCCCCATTCTTTCATTCATGCCCACTTCCACAGTCTTGGATAGATGGTCAGTTGGTTCGAATAACTAAGTTCCAAATAGTAATTGAGAGGTTCCTTGTTTGTAGTCTTCCACATCCCAGTTTTTTTAGGGATGAAAAGCATATTCAACAGAAAAGGGTGCATGTTTATTTACAATTTGCAATAGAAGATGCTGTTACCCTACACCGAAGAAAATTTTCCAATAATGCAGCTGTTAACAGGGATGCAGACGTTGACTTAAAGTGCAAAAAAAGGAAATTAGAGCCAAAGAAATCCTCACAATCAGCAAGCACTGAGCCATTGGATGACTCCTCTGTATCACATTTGGTATTAATTACACATAAAGAACCTTTGAAATTACAAAGACATGCCAGAAGTGCTCCTCAGCTTTGTTTCAGTTGCATAGCAACTTTTATTGGAGAACCCTCCTTGAATGTGCCTGGTGCAAAAGAAAGTTTGGAACCAGGGATTGATTCTTGTATAAATCAGCCAGAGATATATTTAAGGAGCACTGGGCCAACTAGGCATGAAAATGTAAACTGCATTCAACGTAGTAATGCAGAAGCAAACCATGGATCTACTCCATCAGACATTAACAAGTCTACAGAAGTCGCATCTCATACGGCCACCGGAAAAGAAGCTCCTGCTGTTCTCCAAACCTCTGAGATTGCTACACCATCTAGACCAGTGGCTTTAAATCTCCAAGGATCTTCCATCAAGTGGTTTCCATATATCCATGTTGGAGGTCTGTATAGACTGACAGCACACAATACCAGCAGTGCTGCAGTGTTTCAGGCAAAGTTGGGTGGCAAACATTCTGCAGAAAGAGCAATGACAGTTTACCCCACTAGGCAGTGTGTGGACATCAGAGACAACATGACCTTTGACTATATTTTATTTGACAGAAATTCTTCATCCACTGAAAGTGATGTAAGTTTCTGATTTAACATGTGGATTTATGTATAAAAATATTATAGACTTGGTAAAAAACACAACATTTTCTGCAATATACAGTTTACACAGCTGTTCAAAACTCCTTGTTTTACATGAATATGGAAGCTAGGCAACCAAAGTAAACATATCAGCTTCATCTCTAAAATGGTGGAAATAATGCTAAAAATTTTGATTTTATTATGAATAGGATGCAGGTGATGTTAAAAACTCTGGCAGAGGTATGGAGCTCTGTAACGTGCAGGATATAAATAATAATAGGTAAGGCGTGAATCAATGCATATGGAAGTCTGAGCCTATTTGAGTATGTCATGATGTTTTTTGTCAAATATTTGAAAAAATTCTAAGGATATAGTAATAAAATGTCCATTTCAAAACTGAGGACTGGGAAACTTTTAAGCAGTTTTGTGTTTGATATTCTGTAGCACTTGGCAAAAAGTTGGCATGAGCCTAGAACATGGTTCACAGAGAAATGTTTAGATTGTCAGACTGTTGCTACATGTGAAAAATGCTTTTTCTTATACATCCGTGTATAATGGGGGTTTTTACAAATGATAATTTTATTGTATTTTTAATTTCAGTTCCATGGACAAACTAGTTTCATTCAAAGGCTGGATAAAATCGAAAACATTTACAACCCAAAGTAATTCCCGACCAAGAAGAGTTCTCCCTCAGGATTTACAGAAAGTACATCAGGATATGGGTATGAGTGCTTCATGCTTTGAATCATACAAAATACGTTTATTTCAAATTATATTTAATGGGCTACATAAATATTATTGCTGATGTTTGTACCATATTTCAGACTAGCCTACGTATTTAAATTTCATGCACTTGTTTGGTGTTAATTGATTGATGGCCGAAATTTAGCAAATGTGTATCCCATCATTTTGAACTTCAGGAATATCCTTTCCTGATGGCAAGTCCATGAAACTCCTTGTGGGTGACCTGGCCTCATCAGATAATATTACAGTCTATTTGAAAGCGGACAATCAACAGTTTTGTCTTGGCTTGCTCTTGGGGGCTGTGGTGGAATTCAGGAGATTTGAGAAACGTCTGTCAGAAAACAATAAACTCTACTGCCATGATCTTATAACATCTCATGTCAGAGTGGTTTGTTTCCCGCCATTTAAAGGAGAAAGATGGTAAGAACTTTCTGCATTGAAATGATTGTTACCTCTGTCATTTAAGAGGTTATGTTTTTGGTTTTGTTAATTACTTTGCCTGTTTCTTTGCAACATTATGGAAAAAGTTATTGATGGATTTTGATGAAATTTTCAGGATAGGTCAGAAACGGGAAAACCTGTGTGATTTGATTTTGGTGACGATTCGTTTATTAATTAGTTTGTTTAATAATTAGTTAATTATGTCTTGGCAGGTTTGTGCTCTCTGAGTGCTTTTCTTGTATTTTACAGGAATTCAAAATTAATTTATCACTTACTTGTGTATTAATGTGTAAAGAGCATGTTTACTAACGAAATACACATAAGATAGTATTTGCTATCTTTTTTTTCAAAAACATTTTGGTATTTTAATTTGAAGACAACACAGTATAGGTAATCAATTTTAAGATCATAATTCCTTCTTTCAGTAGTATGAGAACGCCCGAGTGTACAGCAGATTCATCCTTCACTGACCTCCCTTCACTGCCACTCCAGTATCTTGGTAGTCTGTGGGATATCTCCAACAGCACTAGACATTCCCCATTTCAGTGTGTCTGTCATGTTCATCAGGTGCTCACAGTGGAGCTGCGGTCTGTGTGTGTGGAATGTAGTAACCTCCATAAAGCTGGGAATTGTACCTATTCTCCTTGTAGTTCTGTTGTGTCTCCTGCATTCCAAGCTAAAGCCAGGTGAGCAAATATTTTGAGCACGTTTAGAACAAATGGATTCTAAGGTACACAATGATAATTCCTTAAATGAATTCAAATTTGATTCAGCAGTTCCAGTATTTTGGATACAAGATTTACTGCATGAGATTTCAAGTCGTCAAGTTTTACAATATTGGTGTGGTACATAAAATAATTGGCTTTTCCTTTTTCCAGCATAATCATAGATGATGGCTCCTGCAATGCTCTAGTGTATTGCAGTGGTCAATCTGTCCAGACATTACTGGATATGTCAGACCAGCAGTGGACAGATTGGAAAGAATTCTTGTCCGATGTGGGAGAACTGCACTATAGCCATGTATGTACATCAGAAGAGATTTATTTTTTAAGATAATTAAAATTATCTGAGGTGGAAGTAGACTTTTAATAAAATGCTGAAAGTGCATATGCATAGTTTTATTGTTAATGGCAGACAAGCGGGCATAGGATATCTTCAAAACGAACAGATTTCTAGATTAACCCAAAAAACTTTCATCTGTATGTAATGGCAACACCTAGAGAAGACTTCATATTGAGCCTCTTATATATTTCCATAATATGCAAAAGTACAAGATGTGTTTGTTCATGTACTTGCTTAATTTTCTGTTCTCTTTTTTGTGTACATGAAGAACACTGGATACTATCTTTCTTTCGAATGTGGTGCCATTTAGTAATGATGAACATACACTAGGTGTCTTGACAGAATTACCATGCGAAACCTTCACTGTTTCAGTCTGCAAGACCAGACGAAATGGATCACAACCAGAAAGCATTGCAACAGCTGTGCAGGAGTGCTCTTGTTCTGAAACCCATGAAAATATTCTGTAAACCTTTTTCCAAAGAAAGTAAACATCACAGTGCACATGGTCTTGAGGGTAGGTGTAAAAATATTCTAAGAACACATTTAAGCTGTTAAAATGTTTAACATCAATGACTTTGAATTATTGGCATGTTTTTGTTTTCTTAACTCAAGTTTTTTTTTTTTTTTTTTTGTTTTTTTTTTTTTTTCAATCAGATTTTATGCTGAAGACTCTGCATGTTGGTCAGGGAACCATTCAGTCAAGAGTACTGCCCCTGTGTCGTCTCTACTGCCTTGGAATGGAAAGAATCAACTACCATGAAAGTATAAGGCAACTCATGACAACCATTTAAACCGACAAAATATCTTTAAAGTTGTTAAGTATTTGACTGCCAAAGACTGCAAACATGATTTAGGTTGGTGAAGCAAATTTTGTTCACATTTCTTTCTATCATTGTGTCACTTGTTTCTGAAATAAATACCATCAATAAAAGCTTTTAGTATTTGTTATAAGGCGTTTACTTTTAAAATCTGTTAAAACATCTGTATCATACATCATCATATAACTCCATTTCATTTTTTAATAAATTTTAAAACAATTGCATTGAAAATTTTATAAATAATTGTTTTAGAACAATTTCTGCAATGATTTAGTGGCTAAATTTCTTTTTCTTCCATTAAACTTCAGTATTAATTTTATGGTTTTCATGTTTATGACCTGAATTAAAGTAAGCTATGTAAAAATGCATCTAAAACAATAGCAATAATAATAATAATAATGCATTAATTGTACTACTATTGGTATTTACTTAATTAATCCTAATGGTAACGTTAAAACATCACTTTTCCAGATAACTGTTATTGCCATCTTTATAAAACTATTAACACCGGTTACACCACGATTGTCATTTATTACAGATTGCTTATTCAGCTGAATTTCACTATTTTCTGTATTGTTAATCACTTTGAAATTGTTTCACTTTTTCTCCACTGGGAAAGTGACTTTAATGATGTCTCCCACACCAGCTTCTATGACATCTCCAGCTTGAACTGGGCCAACTCCAGATGGCGTGCCAGTCAAGATGAGATCACCTGGTTCCAGGGTGAATTTAGAACTAATAAAACTTATCAAATGAGGTATGGTAAAGATCATATCCTTTGTGTTACCATCTTGCTTCATTTCTTCATTCACTTTCAACCACAGTCGGATATTTTGAGGATCTGGAATTTTCTCCTTTGGTATGAAACTGCTGACTGGGCAGGAGGTGTCAAATCCTTTACACACTGACCATGGCTGTCCTTTTTTCTTCAGTTCTTCTTGCTTTGCCCTATCGGTCATGTCCAGTGCCAGGGTATATCCTAAAACATACTTCATTGCATCTGACTCGGAGATGTCTGCACCTTTCTCACCAATGACGATCCCTAACTCCACTTCATGATGTAGCGATGTACAGGTTATGGGCACCTGAAAAATGAAAATTATTTCCTATTAAACATGGGGGTAAATCTTTTTTTTATTTTATTTTAATCACTTTCTCACATTCATTTTCCATCATTTAAGAGCTTTCAAAAACTCTTAATCCAGTATTGTACATTTGAATGATCCACAAATTCATTAAATAACTTCTTTGTTTAAGGTATCCTGTACTATACGGGATTTTTACACAAAAAAAAAAAAGATAGAAGAAGCAATTGTCTCCAACTGCAAATCATTGATCGACCCATTCCTGCACTTGAATCACAAAATATTTCTAATTAAACTTACGAATGACAATTCCTTTAGACTCCCATAGTTGATCTAACATTTCCACGGGAAATGTCAACATTATATATTTTTCAGGTTTCCATCACTATGAAGTCTGAAATGGGGCAAGTTTGGGAGCTTTGTAAGATATTCTGACAAAAAATATGACATTGGGGCATTTTAATTGCATCTCGTATACCTTTAAACATACCTTGATTGCTTGTCCTTCTGTTATGTATGCTGTGGTTGGCTTAAGAAATAAGAGAGGTTCTGTGGGCAGTGCATTTCCCAGTTCCTTGGCATGCTCCCTAAGAGTAAAAACACGTTGCAAATATAATCAATTTACACGTACATGTATTGCAGTATCCAATGTACGACCTAGAACAAGATTTTACCCAGATTTGAAATGAATGAAAAACCTTATTGGGATCCTGATCAGTGTCTACTTAATATGGCATAACTTGGTCAGTGAACTTTGCACTATAATTCCCAAACTCTACGGGATCATCCCGATTCTACCAGTGAAGATAAGCAGATGAGGGACTGATGTGATGGCAATAAAATTGTCAACAACTAACAACTTTATGTGCAATCTCATGGTCTGTGTGTCTTAAGTGTGTCATTTTCTTCAAAACTACAAATGGTCAAATAAACTTACGCATAGTTTCTTCCAACTGCAACTATCTTCTTCCCGGCTTCCACAAATCGTGCCATGATGTTAGACGACCTAGTTGCATTATTTAGGTCAAGAAGTTCTTCTATGTTTGGAGATTGATAAAAAAATGGCGACGTTGCTGAATTCTGGAGGAAAACTTGTGAATTCCAAGTACAACGGGACTGTTAAAAACCTCATTGTCGCGTCTGTTGCAGCATGCCTTGGCGCAGTGGCGTTTGGTTTCAGCATCGGGTACAGTTCTCCAGCTGTTTCCCAGATGCAAAAAGAAGGCATGATGGATAAATACCAGGCGGCTTGGTTTGGCTCACTGTTGTCAATAGGCGGTATATGTGGGGGACCTGTAGCAGGCTGGACCATTGAAAAATTTGGAAGAAGAAACACGCTTATGCTGACAGCTGTCCCGTTTACTTTAGGCTGGCTTCTGATTGTCTGGCCTGGACAACTGTTGTTATTATACGTTGGACGCCTGTTGACTGGGTTTGGAGGGGCGATGATAACCGTTGTTGGGCCGGTTTATGTGGCTGAGGTGTCGACCAAGGAATTAAGAGGAATGCTGGGCTCTGGTATCCAGCTGGGGATAACACTCGGGATCTTAGATGTGTACACCCTTGGTATGTTTTTTAAGTGGACAAACTTGGCTCTTATTAGCATAATTCCAGGAGCAGCATGTGCGATATTGATGTACTTTATGCCAGAGTCTCCTCGCTATTTACTAGCTAACAACCGCAAAAGTGAAGCCATGGCAAGCCTGCAGTTTCTTCGTGGACCTCACACTGATGTCCAAGAAGAATGCAGTGATATCGAAGAAGGTTTGGAATCTCAAGACCAAAAGCTTTCCTTTGAAGAACTGTGGACCAATGCGTCAATCTACAGGCCCTTGAAAGTCGGTATAGGATTGATGGTATTTCAACAGATGAGCGGCATTAATGTTTTCATGTTCTTCTCTGTCTCCATATTTGAGAATGCTGGCTTTAAAGAGATGAGTGAATATGCATCTGTGGTCATCGGTGGTGTACAGGTAGTTTTCACTGTCCTAGCTTGTATAATAATTGACAGAGCTGGACGACGCCCACTTCTGATTTTTGCAGGTGCTGGAATGTCAATCTCTTGCCTAACCTTTGGCTGGTATTTTCACGCAGTTGCAGGGGGAACCCCTGCTGCATCTCTGAGCTGGCTGGCATTAGGCAGTCTGATAGTCTACATCATAGCCTTCTCTCTAGGCTGGGGACCAGTGCCTATGTTAGTTGTGTCCGAGATTTTTCCAACTAAAGCAAAAGGCACAGCAACAGGAATTGCAGTCTTTGTGAACTGGTTCTTTGGTTTTGTCTGCACCAAGTACTTTGCAAACCTCCAGGATATGCTAGGTGATGCTGGATCATTCTGGTTCTTCGGTGTATTCTGTGTAGCAGGCTTTCTGTTTTCCTGGAAATATGTTCCAGAGACCAGAGGGAAATCTCTTGAAGATATTGAACTTTATTTTGTGGGTAGCAAGTTTATCCCAGCACGTGGTGTTTAAGATTCTAGTCTTGTTTTTTTAAGAAAGTTGGACCAAATCAAGCACAGATCACAAATTTATTTGTGTTTAGAAGTCTTATAATTTAATACACTTTGCTATCATTTTTTTTTATTCATGTTTATTTCTGTTATTCTGAATATGACATTTTGTTATTTTGATGTTGTAAAGAAACTTCTTTCACACTAGTCTTTTCCACAGATAATTGAAACAAACTTAGAAGTATTTCATTTGAAACAATTTGTGCAAAAGTGGCACAAATGTCTTGTGCTATTCTTTGTAAATAGACCCACATATTTTCTTTGCCAGTTTAAATTGCTAGTATTGAATATCAGTGATGTGGAATTGTTCACTGTCAACAATGCAAAATGCTGGCATTGTTCATTGATAATATGATTAAACATATATCAGCAGTCTGTATCATTGTGCTCTGTAACTAGTGACACTGCTATCAAAATATTCCTGCGGCTGATTGGGAGCGGATGTGGTCATCATTTATCTTAACTACGGTAAGGCAATGAGCAGTTGCTTGTGGGTACTTTTATAGATTGTATTTCTGAAAAAGTAGATATTTGGGACATGATACAAAAATGTATTTATAAAATGAAATATTTTTGCTGTAATGTGATATAGTGTTTCAGAATGAAGGGAAAGAAGGTTAGTCAGAGTTTCGTTAGGAAGAAAAGAAGGGTTGAATTATTGCCCTGCTATGCCGTGCTTGTTCTACACGTAATATTGAGATGGTACTATTCATTCTTTACTTTAAAATAGTTAAATTTAAATGAAATGGCACTGTCATTGTGCTGCACACAATAAAACCTAAGAAGCTTTTTTAAATCCCCATTATATTTGGCATTTAGCTTTTTGTTAATGTCTATCTTTATGTTAATTGTTTTAACAAGATCACCCACCAGGCCATTATTTATACCAAGAATTGTCTGCTTGAATTATTCAGTAATGTATTAGCCCATATAAATTACAAACACGTACAAGGTCAGGATCCAGAGAATGCTGACATGTTAATGCACAGACTATGTGTGTATAATATGATAGTCTCCACCAGTGGTTGAGATAGGATGTGTTCAGAATAGAAGTTGTCACACTTGCAGGATCGATCCATCTCAGCTGCGATTCCCGCTAAGGCACAATGAAAGTAATCATCTTAATATTCTGGCACGCTCCCTTTTAATTTTAAGCACTTTGGTAAAGTTAGTAAAAGTTTATGGACCATGATGTTGTTCATGTTGCTTAGCGAGGGGGCATGCCAGACAACTAAGCTGATTACATTGACTGCGCCTTAGCAAAATCCCTGCTGAGATGGATTGATCTTGCTAGTACGATAACAACTATTCTGAACACAGCCTTAATTTTGTTTTGAGGCATTTTGTAACCAAGCTGCATGTCTGTCTCGTTTTAGATATGTTGATATAGACGAACTTCCAAAAAAAGTTCCACTGTTATCTTGCTTTGTTGATTTTTATTAGCTTTAGCCCATGTCTAATACTTTTAAACTGAAACCTTTTGCTTCAGAGTTGTGTTACTTTCATTAAATGGCTGCAAATGTATTTTCTTGATTCGATACTTTGCTGTTCTCTTGTTGTGTAGTGCAGTCTTGGGGGGAAAAAAATGCTAGTAATTGGTTTGCATAAGTGCACATACATGTAAGTCTAAAGTGGATGTTTTTGTTCATATATATCTGAAAACGAATCAAGCATTGAAATACCCGGTATGTGCACCCTATATTTGAGAGTGCTAATGGCAATATCTCGGGGGGAAACAAAGCGCTGGAGGAGGTTAGGCAAAATAGACCTGAGCGCTCTGATTGCTCTTTGTTGATGATACATTCCATGTATATGTACTTAAATAAATTGTGTAATATCCAGGGTAATAAAAGGGATTTATTGAAATACTTTTTTTCTTTCTGTGAATTGTGGAAAGAACGGTACAAACATTCGCTAAGTGAATCTGCATAGATAAATTTAGTTTATCGTGTCTGACAGACTAGACGTGCCAAGCACAACATGATGTTAATAAATCTTGATAAGTTTATGAGAATGACGTAAACACACAACTCATTTTGAACAGGCCTGTGTTCGTAACATTAGTTTCATGCTTGCTAATGTCAAAATCCAGGGCTGTGACACTGCATGTGTCTGATTTATGGTGGCACATCATGGCCACAATACCCCTGGAAACCCCTGCACCACCCTCTAAATACTCACCCAGCTGATGAAAACTTCTCGTCTCAACTGGTGCATTGTGTGTATAACTGTGCTTATACATGTATTTAGTAAGGGCCCCTTTACACTGGACGGCGTCCTTTCTGCGTCCAGCAGCACGGCCCCATTTGAGAGTTAAAAAATTATAATATTTTACCTGCCGACAACTGGCCGATCATTGAGCGTTCTTCTGATACAAAATCAGTGCTCGTGCTTCCTTATTAAGACCACAGCGATGCCAAATTTCATGGTCGCAGAGAGGACGCAGAAAGGACGCCGTCCAGTGTAAATGGGGTATAAGCTTGATACCGCTTTGAACAATTGAAATTTTCAGCTATGTATAAGTAAATTGCTTGGACTTGCTAGAAGCGCATACAAATCATACATTAAATTGTGGCAGTTATTGCGGCAGATATGACTCTGCCTATTAATTCACATATAATAGTTTTTGTTTGAATTATTATGTACGGTCGCTCTATCAATGGATTTCTCTAAAGACAAATCAACTTTTCCCCCTTCTTTAAATTTTTTTATAGAAATATAGAAAGTATTACAAGTGTGTATAAATTGACTCGTTTCGATTTTAGTAGAACGAAAAAGGAACTTAAAACAGTATGTTTACAATTACTGCTGCACTGATAAAAAATGCAATATTTCAATTTTCTTTTGCCTTTGCTCTAAGAATTTCTTCCTTTTTATCTGGGCGTTTGTTCCCATGCTCATAGTTAATGGAATTATTAAGATATTTATGTAGATGAATGAATCGAGTACCCCTAATCTAAGGGAGTGAATCGTCTCGAGTGGGGTTAAGAATTTCTACGATTGTTTTGGTTCGACAAGTGGAGTGAAGTGGAGATTTTGGTCTGACATGTTGGAAATGCTGGTGCCGACCACATGGGGTTCCTTAAACACTCAAAACAATGCGTCAATTTACGAGCATGCCGATTATCGAAATTTTACTTTCAATAATTTGTAATCACTCGTCCAGGTCTTTTTATTTTATAGCAAATATAGGATGAAAATAATGTATGCAAGAGGAGATAAAGATGGAATTTTTGCCGATTTGCTGCTTAGATATAGGTCCAATTTTTTAACTCGAAATTCGGTCTGCATCAGAGTTATTGGCATTTACTTAATAGTGCGTGGGCTACAAGTGAAAGGTGATGGAATTAAGCGTTGTGCAGCAATTAAGCTTGTCAAGCAACAGTACGGATTTCATTTTCAAGTAGATAATCGGCCATTCTCTTCTTTTCTTCACATCAGGCGAGAAAATCGAGTGACCCTGGCGCCGACCCCGTATAGAGGGTGTGGTCGCAGGAGAAAAGGGAGCAAGTAAGTCCCGAAGTCTTAACCGAACGTAAAGAATTTTAATATAAGAAATTATTGGTTACAGTTGACGAAAACATCATTATCTTATTTTTATAAATACCTTTCTTGGTAGTTACATATTAGATATAATTATACGTTTAAATCGTGTACTTTAGCAATTTATCCCAATGGAAAAGTATGGAAAATTTCTGAGAAGGAAAATAATTTTTGCTAAAGTGTACCGAGCATTGATACGTCTTTAAATGTGCGTGGTGTGTGTGTTTCTGAAATTATAAAAGATTGATTTCAGCTTTTGCCGTCGTTTAGACACTTAATGAGGCTCAAATTTTCAAAATATAACAAAAGTAGGCCTACTTACACGTGCAATTGCTGTGAGCCAAGGTTAAATTTATTTCCATCGAAAGAAATACAATAAAAATTAAATTAAAAAACAATAGGAGGGTCTACTTTGACGCAGGGGCGGATCCAAGATTATTTGAAGGGGGGTCCGCGGATGCGATGTCGCCGCCTGATAATTTTGAAATTTTCAGTTATGTTTTTATTCAACTAAAACTGCGTTGGAAATAAACAAATTTAATCATAATCCATACTCTGCACGCCGGGGATGAGGAACGGAAGTTGGTTATGACAGATTGTTCACAGTTTGTAATTTTAATTGATGATACACGCTAAGTTCGCACCAACAAGTCACCACTTCACTAAGAACCTCCCGAGACAATGTCCTAGACCATGCTAATATTGCACTAATAATACGATATCGGGCTATTGTCTCAAGTTACAGGTGCTACCAACTTTCATGTTGTGAGAAATCTCGATACAGCACCCGGCACGGGCCAGCGTCGAATTGTTACATCTTAACAACTATTTTACGATATTTGATATTCATTAATACATCCAGTGATAACGAAAATTTATTCTGATCATGCGATCTTAAGCATTTATTTAACAGTTTAAATAAGTTTTGAATGTCAAAAGATTCCAGAAAAAAATGGATGTTGCAATTCTTTCTCGGAATGACCAATTTGCAAGAAAACAGATTACTGACTGCTGGACTGAAACCCTTGTTCTACCATGTAATGATACGTTTATTGTGACAGTGACATATTATAATGTGACATGTCGCCTCTTTAATGAACTAATTACGAACAATGCCATGACAGGGATTTGGCATTTCTATTGTCTTTTGGGGATATTGTTAGTGCATGTATTAAAAAGCGTTGTGTAAATAAAAGAATTCTTCGAAATTTTGACATCTCACAAAATATACAATATGAATTTATCCTATTTCGTGATATTGCTTCTGATCCATTAAACCAGTCCTCTTTATAACGACCATGCATGTGCCGTCCAATGTAAAAATGTTAGCTCAAATAATACACATGACGGTGTTTTGAAGTCCGTTGGATGACGCCCCTCTTTTTTTTCTACTGTCGCAGCCTCCTTCCATTTGGCAATCACACTTTAAAAATTAAATTGGAAGCTGAAGGTCAAACAAGAACATTACATTCTTTACTGAATACGATTAAATCTACCATATTTTGATATAAGAAGAGACTGAGAGTAGTATGCAACGAGAAGATGATTAAAGATCAATTTTAGGCATCGAAATGATACTTGCGACATTGCGGTTTTAGACTATAATTTTTAGACGCCAGAGACATGCCACAAAGGTAATCAATTTCAGCGAGTCTCGAAGTTGAGAAAGAGTCTCATGATATTGGAGAAACAATACTTACTGATATATAAAGAACATATAAATTGAAAGTCGGTGTAAATGCTTAATTAAAAAGTGAATTGACTCTGGAAATTCTCTGGACGCCAATAAAAATTGTTTACTCAATAGATAGTCTACAAAGTATGTGCATGTATGTTTTACACACGGTTCAGAAAGGTACATTTTACACTTTAGCTAAAAATATAGAATATTTCAATAAAACATAAATGCCGTAATTGCAATATATATCATGGTCAAACATACATAGAAAAATCCATTTTTATCCTTTATATCCCCCTTCAAATTTGCTTTCGTTTTGTTGTAACTTTGTTATCATATGGCAACCGGACCCCTAAATCTGCTTACTGTTGCGAATTTTAAAAACATGATTGTTTTGAAACATAATGAAAATTAAAAATATTAAAACTGCCTCATACATACATAATTTGAAGCGGATTAATTAAGCCCACAGGCTTGATAAAAAGGCATGCTGCAATTATATAGTAAATTATCATTGAATAACTGATAGCTTTGTGCTATACAAATTGTTCACAGTTTGCAGTACATGTTGACGATTCCGCCGAGGTGTCTAACAACAAGTCATCGCTTCACTCTCCACCGCAATGGACACAGTCGCCGTAAAGTGGAAAATACGGTATTGGTCTACTGTTTCTCACATCAGGTGAGGTGAACAGAGGGTGGTCGGCGCCGACCCCGGTGAGATAGATTTAGTCCCCCTGCTGAACAACCTACCAGACTCAACTCCGTATCAATGTCCTGAACACGCGCACGCTTCACGACATGAAAACTTACACTACCTAATGGCGCACTTCTATCGCAAAAATGAATTAAATACACCGGTAAATGAAATCGATGAATGTCATTCAAGAGTGAAAAATGATATCTTTCTGATATACATGGCTGAAAAAAATTAAGGGAAAGAACTAAAGGTTTCCTTATAAGTAGGCCTATTTAAATGATTATGATTCAATATAATTGTGTTTTATGTAATGCCTCTTATTATAGTCATCATATTGACGTTCAAATTTTGAATAAATTCTTTATTTTTACTTTTATTTATTTATTTATTGTTATCAAATTCCAATAACTGAGAATGTCAAATAATTATGTTGCATATCTAAAGCAAAAAATTAGCTTCGTAAATAAAAAAAATTAGGCGGTTTACATTTATTTCCAAATGCAAATCATCCCGTGGAGATGTTTTTTAGAGGAGATCGAAGCACTGAATAAAAGTAGCTATACTAACACTGCTACATTTTACTGAATATTTGAAGGTTGAAGGAGACACAATTAGGAAGAACAGGGGTCATGCCAAAGTCGTTCCTATGTTCACAGTTTGGAGTGGGTAATAATAACACTTGCAAGGTGTTTAGCTACAAGTCAATTTTGAACAATTGTTCCCCAGGCATGCTCATGAGTCAAGTGACAGGTATGAACTGTACTATTGTTTCTCGGACCAGGTGAAAATCGGGAAATCCCTCTTCAACACACGGTGAAACTTCCCGATATGCTTCCAGTCACGAACTCCAATATTGGGAAAATACATGTAGTGATACGAGATATATGGTTATTGTGTTAATAAAAGACAAGTTGCATATGATTTAAAATGAACAAAAGCATTTATACATTTTGGAAAAAAACTGTCTATTATACATGTACAATCCTGAATCTTTTCACAATTGTTATTCGTTTGTTATCAATTTTAAAAATAAGGTTTAACATGCATGTGATAAAAGGATCATACAAACGTTAAGAACATATAATACAGGTCAATATGTTAAATGGAACACTGATTTATAGGCCTACAATGTAAAAGAAAGCACTTTTGACATCCTCCGTAAACTTTCACTCGTTTATGAATATTGTACATAGCTTATATTATCTGTGCTTTTTCAGTTAATTTTTTTCTGTTAATCATATTATTTTTTATTTTCCTTAAGATATTCATAAGCATGTCAGTCTGTTGCAACCTAGGAAGAAAAAATCCACTTTGTCCCTTCAGATTTGTCCGGCAGGTGTTTAGCTGAACTTTAACAAGGAATGCATTTAAACCACCATTATAACGGGGACCACTTGAGATAGTTCAGATACATTTCACTATTCAATTGGTTTGATGAAGAACCTTTTAACTTGTCATTTCAAGTGACAATATTTTGACGGGAATTTGCCGATGAAATAGAAGTTTGTCAATTAGCCACCGTTCTCCTTGTCCACTTTAAGTAGATAATGATGAGATGAGTTGCTGGTTTCGAGTGTTGACAGGAGAAATCCATGTTGTAATCGGTTTGTTGGCCAAACAACCCCGACGATGCGAGTGGCGCCACAAAGTCAATTACAGAAAACTTTCTGCACCTCTCATAGAAATATAGGCAGACGACACATGACGATGACGTCATTCTAGACAGGTACCTACATGTTCAACATGTTGGCTCCACATAAGTCTTATCAATCCCATTTCATACTGGCACACTTAATCGCAAAAATTAATTAAATACACCGGTAAATGAAATCGATTAATTTCTTTCAAGAATGAAAAATAATATCTTTCTGATATACATGGCTGAAAAAAATGAAGGGAAAGAACTAAAGGTTTTCTTTTAAGTATTTAAATGATTATGATTCAATATAATGGTGTTTTATGTAATACCTCTCGTTTCTCTCCTTGCTCACCATTTTTGGTGACGAACAAATAAGAAATAGACGCACGTAATAATGTAGAAACCAAGAGCAAAATTCAGTAAAATTTCGTTTCCAGAATTTCGCCTGTATCTGATTAAATTTGATATGATTTTCTAAAACCACAGCGTATGAAATTGATTTTAATGCCTTGTAGATCAACGCATTTAGTTCAATTAGAAAATAATACAGAGATTAAAAATTTAGAATGTGCAAATAAATATCAGACATCTGTACGATAGACTTTTCTTTTTGCAAACTGTATTTATTTTCCAAACTTTTTTCTCAATCTTCCTTTCTTTTTTTCCCACCTGCCAATACGTGTCAAGTGGCGTGGTCAATTGGTCAACAATTTGGCCAAAAGTACCTGACCAGGCCCTTGTGCACAATATTTTCATGCATCCATAACTCGCTCATCCAGGTGTATTGTCCCTGATCTAAATCGTTATTGTGTCAAATTAACGGATAACAGCGGCAGGCAAACACAGGTGAAAGCTCATCCCTGCGTCAATTGTGTTTAACGAGGTACAAGGGCGGAGAACCAATTAAGGTGTCTTAATAAAAGGTTTGGATATATCTGATCGCCCCTCGTTCCTGATTCTTATCTCTGAGATAACATCAACTTTTAAACATCTAAGTTGCAAGCTTGAGGTTGTTTGCGTCCAAGGTTATTGTTTGAGCAAAAATGTCAATGAGTGTTGCATCTTATTTGGCATGTTTGAATCAAACACATTTCCCAGCAATATGAAAGGCTGTCGTAGTTATCACCTTCGCTCAGCGGGTGTCAAACGTAACCGACCAATCAGTTTTAACCCAGCGGTCAGCCATCAATAAAAGTGGCCGGAGTTTTCTACAGGACAACATTCCACTCATTTACGACTAGGAGTTAACATAGTTTGAGAGGACAGCACTTGACAACAACTCAAGAATAATTCAGAAAATGAGCATGGCTCTGTTTCATCCATTCAGCATTGAAAGTTTGACATCAGGCATTGGCGCGCCAATGCAATACGGAGATTACCAGCGACCAGAATACCTGTCAACTCCTTCCCTAAACTTCACAGCTCTGACTCGTGCTGTGGACCCTGAAGATGACGCGGCGTTCCCGATACCAAACCTCCACAGTAGTTCATCGGCCGGCAGCAGTGGCCTCCCGTCACCGGCCTCCACGAGCAGTGTTTCCGAGGGCACGGCTCCCTCCCCGTCACCCTCCGTTGCTTCCACCAGCAGCGACACGGCTTTAGACTTGACACAGACCCTGAGGTCGTTGGAAAGGTAAGGAGTGAGAAAATTGTATAAAATATGTTTTTTTAATGGCAAATGTACCATTTTTTCAATTATTAATCTGATGAGAGCAAAAGCTGATAGAAGTCAGCGAGAAGTTAGATGCAGTGTCTCCTGTTTTGCACGTTACGTTTTCTATCTCGAATCCAAGACATGTACACACAATTAACGCTTTTTTTATGTTGACATTGAACTGAAATTTATTTAGAATCGTTTTAGGTCTATAAAATTTATTTAAACTTTCTATTTACGAGCATTTTTGTAGTGTGAAATGATAAGTTCAGAAATAAAAAAATATTCACAAGGGATATTTGAATTAATTTTTGATATTATTTCAACTTTCAGAACGTCTGATAGATTGACAGCGACATCGGAAGACAAGAGTGGCAAGCCTTCGCTGTCCTACATTGCTCTTATTTCTATGGCAATTCTCAGCACGCGCGAGAAAAAGATGCTTCTCAGCGACATCTACCAGCACATCATGGACAATTTTCCTTACTACAGCAACAAGGAGAAAGCATGGAGAAACAGTGTCCGCCACAACTTGTCTCTGAACGAGTGTTTTATCAAGAACGGGCGCGCCGATAATGGAAAGGGACATTACTGGTCTATCCATCCAGCTTGCATTGAAGACTTCTCAAAGGGTGACTTCCGCAGACGACAGGCAAGACGCCGCGCAAAACGCAGCTCACCCGACACTTCTTCACTCAAGATGAACCAGAGCCAACATTCCAAGTTGAATTACCACTACAGCCTTGGGTACGTCCCCATGACTTCCGTGATGTCATCCTACAGCTCCTATCACCCATACGCCAGTCCAGCCACGCGGTACCAGGCACCACCTCTGCATCACTATCCTCACTCCGCGCAGAACCCTCACACGTTGTTCCCTGCCCTGTCACAGGCGCTGCCACAAGATATATTCCTCAGTTCGACTAACTCCAGTTGCAAGTATGCTTCTTTGCCAGACCACCAAACACCAGAGCTGCCAATAGACTTCAAACCTTACTTCTACAAATAGACGATTCACTTTTTGACAGGCGATCATACCTGACGATTTAACGTTGAACTGGTGTTGATTTTCTACAGTGCAATCTAGTCTTAATTTATTTTATAAGTTTACCCATGTGTTTGGAAGAGAACTGCGGTTGATTTAAAGTGATTTTCAGATATTATAGACTTATCTGAATTTTTTTACTCAGTGCGTGCTGTGCACATACTGATATTAGTATATTAGGTGTATATATATTAGGAGTAATGTCAAATAACAAGCACCGCAAGATTTGCAGATTTATTTATTATAAGTGTAAAACGTTGCTGAAAGCGTAATAAGCTGAAATAATGTCTTTTATTGTCTGTGCGAAATTTAATTTTATCTAAGATTATATTGACAACAATTACAGTTTGGATATTTGACTTGTTCCAACGGTTATATAAGTCATGACGAACAATTTATGCCAAGTTTGAATTAGGTCGGTGCTGCAATAAGAACCAAACCATCGTTTTGTTTTGTAAATATGTTTCTATCATCATTGTGCAATAAAATCACCTTTTGTAGTAAAACAGGTTTCTTTGTCATCTGGTTGTTTATTAAAGTGCCGTGGGTTCATTCATTAATGTGTCTAGTAATACTATAATAATACTATATGTGTCTCGTTATTCCTTGATTAAAATTGCAAGAGGGCAAAGCATCCTTAATTAGCCCCGAAAAAGCAGTTTAACACCCTGTGGTTTCATGTTTAAAAAAAAAAAAAATAAATAAAAAAAATAAAAAAAAAACATAAATAAATAAATAAATAAAAGAAACGTGTTAGACGAAAATTTTAATGTTTTTTAAAACTGTTCTGCTTGATTGAGGCGAGAGTTTATCCTCTCCAGCTTCATTATTATTTCGTTTTCGATAATTTTTGACGAGATTGATATGTTAAAGTGAGTGTAGGCCTAAGAGTGCAGAAAAAATTCTCTATCCTTAGACATTATATATTATTCTACTGTATGCAATAGACTAAGTATTAAATATGTGGATTCGCATAATTGATAAAATTTGTAATATGAACTGAAAATGTCAACATATTAACACTCTTTATCTGTTGGGCTTGTTTCGAGACAGTCCCCAAGGGTAGTAATTTTGCTACTTTGATCTACGCTGACTCAAAAGGAACAAAAACCTGGAAGAGGGATGCAACAAATTAAAAGTAACTCATATTCAGATCTACTAATAGCCGAATAGCTAAATTCGAATTATATTTAAAAAGCACCTGGATTAATTTTTCTCGAGACAGTTTTGTCTACTCTGGGTATGTTTTTGTTTTGTTTTGTTTCTTTTGTATGTTTTCTGTTGTGAAAAAAGGGAAAACAATTTACTAACTACTAATGATATAAAATAACTTTCTTATACATTTTCCCAAGTAAACTGGCGATTCTAACCTTAAACAAATCTTAAACAGAATATTGGTCACTGGTTCCGATGCACATGTTACCCACTCCGACACCGACTCTAGAATCACCTGTCCCTGGGCGCCGGGGCGTCTGGCACTTTAATTCACAATACAGGTAGAGTGCGAGCCCCCTACCTAGTCGTTAAATGAAAGCACGTGCCCACTCGTGGCAAGCTAAATGAAGTGCCAGTGAGACTTTTGTTTTCAGTACAAAGAGAATGAATGTTGTTATTTTCCTTTTTCTTGTTCGACCTTTAAATGGAGTTGTTAGTACATTTGCGTAATAGATGGAAATTGCTCTCTAACTTGTTTTAAACGTTTTGATAATCAGCTAATCGTTCAGCCTGCCATTTTCTCCAATTACGGCACGGGGATATAATGTTGACACTCAGTTTGTACCAGTGCATATATGTTATAAGCGTTACCATGGTTTTATATGTAAACAATAATGCCGCGTGAGACAAGATATGAAACTTTTTTTTCTTGAGAAACTTTTATTGCGCTATTAATGATGATCAGACAATGTCTTTTAAATGGGGCGTTGATACTTTTGACATGCATATAATTTATTGACAGTGTAGTTCAATTTGCATCACTTCAAGGCATATTCCACCTAGGGCCAGACAATGGCTCTAAACTATTTGCACTTTAGTCTTTTCATGTCTCAATTTTTGTTACTTATTTATCGGAAACATGAAATCTTGTGCAATGTCATTCAGCATTTGATCTTTCTCCGGTTTTTATATTTCTTGATGACCACCTGTACACAGAATTAGCTATCTATGTTCCAAATATACCCCTTGTATTTCAGTAAAGACTGGCGTGTGTCAGTGCATTATGTCTATATCACCGGCAAATGTACAAAAAGGCGCACATATAAGTCTATATCAAAACTTATATATTAAAAAACCTAATTACATATTCATACTGAAATCCATCAACTATACAATATACATTCAGAAACCGCACTTCTATAAAATTGTAGTCCTTGTGGTAATTATTTTATGACGTTTTCTCCCATGGTACCCGTTAGGAGACAAGGTTTTACGTGTATAAACATAATTTAAAGCGAACTGAATTTGGAATGGAACTTGAGTTTATCTTTTGGTTGTTAATAGCAAGTCTATGATCTCAACTTTGTGAAAACACCAAGGATTGTTTCAACGGGTGTTTTGTACCAAGGCGAGGCAGCACTGTTCATGTTGTGCTTCTCTGGAATCCGAACTGGTTTCAAGTTTTCCGTAAAACATCTGTCCATACACGTATACATATCATATCTGTTCCCACACACATCAACACAACTTTTTAAAATCTGATCTTCAACGTCTCGGCGGACTTTTTTCTTTCCTGTCAAAGTGAAAACAAGAGCATTTAAAATTAAATGATAATTGCTTTGCAAGAGTAATCCATTCGGAAAATTTATGCTCAAGAAGTAACAAAGATGTAGTTAAAAAAAAAAAAATGGAAAAAGATGGAATTGCATACAAACCTTGAGTTGGCTTTTCATTGTTGGCGCAGCCTTCAAGAACCAAGCCCTTGGAGGATAAAAATACCCACTTCGGCGCTCTCACTAAGAACGAAAGAGTTCCCTTGTACACCCTGAACGCGATGTACATCCCTGTCACCGTGTCACGGATCATAACGCGCTTCATAGGTAGCTTGGGTCCACTGCTCTCGATCACCAGTCTGCTAAGACCTGGGTAATATATCAAAACATGCATTTCATATTGCAACTGAATGACTGATATCAAGGATAGGATATGTAATGAGCGATCTGAAACAAATAGAAACCGATCCGGTGCCAGCACCAAAATTAAAAAATGGATAAATTCTAAAATCAAAATAGCCACATTCTACGTCCAACTGAATCAAACCAAGTTAGTATTACCCTTGTGAAATCATACAACGCCGGCCTACCTATTGTGATTTCTCTACTCCCGTCTAGGAAGGTGTCGGGCAGTTGTCCACGCGCCAGGTATGTGGCCACTGGGTTGCTGCCGTTTTCGTAAAACGTCATGTTTAACTGGAGTTGATAATAAATGTAAATAAATCTTTGATTTAGCCTGAAACAGCCTAAGTTTTATACTTCTAAGTATTCTAACACACAAAAAGTAGTAAAATGTTTGCATTGTTAATGTCCGTTAGAATTCCCATCATTCCTTGTAAAAATATTTTTAGAATTTGATTAAAAAAGAAAATACTTACGCTAACGATTACGGAAGCCCCCGTTTTCTTATCAATCACCATGTTGTAACCTTCTATGGTGAAAAACTGGTTGGTCATGTACTGCACCCGCCCGGCCCGTGGACAGAACTGAGACCGTTCCACCCCCATCATTTTGAGATGAGATACGCCAAAAGCTCCAACCGTAAACCTCTTGATCATTGGGTTGCTTGGCCCCTGTAGTAAAAGTAACTTATGAACGGAGAAACCATCGCAGGTTTGTAAATATGGCTTACCTTTATTACGTAAAAAATTCTGCGTGCCTCTCAACTCTTGTTAGACAATGAACCTTTAAAATGCCATTGGGAGTTAAATGACAAATATGATTGCAAGGCTTATTACCGGTTTTGGAGAGGATAAATTCAAGCATTTCTCCATTTGGCAAATGGACTCTATTCTACCAGGAACACTGAAGACAAGACCACAAGGATAGGTCTGGCTGGTCAGGTCAGTACAGTTGTTGGTCATATCTGAAAACACCATCTTGACCGCTTCCACGGCTTGTTCATATATTCTGTAAGACAACATAAAAAAATTCAAACTGCGTCAATTTTGTCCATGCGGCAACGAGTGATGTGATAAATAGCCTACGTGTGGCATTGGTGGCTCACATTGGAAACTATCACACCTGGCGCAATTCATGGATCAACTTACAACAATTTGCCGCTGTGTAGGCATGATCCTCTACAGCGACTCAGAGTACAAAAAGTATGATTCAACCTGCACTAGTTATGTACCGATTCTTATAGTAAAAGTGTATTGCCTAACGTTGCCTACTTACCCACAAAGCTCCGTGCTGCTTTCCTTCGTGACGCGTTGCCAATCAAATTTGAACACCTTTGACCAGAAAGGGAATGTAACCTTCATCAGTGTGGAATCAAATTCTGATCCTTCGGCGCTGCACTCATTCAGATTGTGCGAAGGCAACACTAAAAGATATGCGAAATATATCGTAAGAATAAGCTAAAATCGTAATAATTTTTTCATAGATATAAGTTATTATTTAGAGTGAAAGAATATTTATGAGGCACATTCATCATTTCTTTAGAATATTTGATTCTTTATTATACTTTATAATTTTTGACTATTAATTAGCCAGTTAACCGTTAACCTGTAACTGGCCAGCATAGAATCCAAATTATTAGTGCGTAGATAAAAGGTATGATAAATATTAAAAACCAATTAAACCAAATATTGCATCAGGCATGCAACTATTTTTGGCGGCGCCATTAAGGTCCAATTGTATATATTGAAATTGATGTGTTATCATCACTGTAGAAATGGTTTGGAAAAAAAAAAAAAAAGACAAACACATGCTCATGTTTTACGATTAATGCTGTACATTTTCACATCACTGTTTCAGAAAGTGATGTTATATATTTACACGTACCAGCTTTGTACAGAGGTATCAGAGCAGCGTCACTGCACATCCTGTCAAAGCGCACTGCTAAAGGATCATAACTCCGCCACATTTGATAGAATTCTGTCAGCGGCTTCAGTCCACACAGCGACACCGTGGTTTCCATACAAGCGTCCAGTGTGGAGATGGTGCTAAAACAAATAAAGACCCATTCTATTTCATGTTGTTGTAAACGACCGGGCTAAATGCTATCTTATTCTATCCAGTTTTGCACAAAGGTTGTGCATTTTTCTATTCGGGATATTTCTTTACAGCCTAGTCGTTCATTCGTCATATCTTTAGGTAAAAAGTAAATGCTTTCTCATATACTCTGTTTTAACTGCGTCTAAGCACAAACTGAAGAGGTAAGATATGAGCTGACCTAAATTTAAACAATTTGGGAACCGTATTAATCGTCAAGGACATACATGTATGCGACATGTTTTGGAAAATGGGATGTTATCTTTCATGACTATAAAATATAATAAGGGGTTCCATTTGCCACCATATGATTAATACGTGAACAGCAATTTTGACCGAAGTCGAACGTTATCTGAAGGTCTAACATTCGCAGTTACACACCAAGTTTACTCTGAAATCATTCTACCAGTTGGGCACTGTGTTATCTGAATCAAAACATGTAACCATTGCAACCCGTTTTAAAGGTACTGACCACAAGTTGAATGTGACGTTTAAATTTCAATTCTATTTTGACACGAGTAAGACCCTTTCAAGTCTCGTCTAGACTATTTTTTCTCAAATATTATCTATTCAATACAGAGACCAATATTTTCAGTTCCGTTCTAATATCTTTTTGTCGTGCTTGAATGTCAAATATCACAAGATTTAAAAAACAGCCTAATTAGGAAAGGTATGGCATGTTCGCCTCTGGAACGAAGACGGCAAATAATAGGATGACGGCAAATAATACGATGCAATTTGAGAATGGCAAAGGACAAACAAAAACGATTGTACTAAAATTACGTACGCTATGAGTATCTGAACAAAAATCCATCAGAGAAATATTCATGGCACCATTGCTCCAATACTTGTCAAGCGTTTATTTATTTTATTTTATTTTATTTTATTTTATTATTATAATATTTTTGCGAATAGTAATCTACGTAAGGAAACCCCTATTACTCACGTGCACATCTCTTCAAAAAGCTGCTGGTCGTTATTCCTGAGACCCTGCTGTAGCCAGAGGCTGACATTACTGGCATCTCGACCTCCGCTCCATGTCTTGTACCCCATAAAACACTCGGCAAAGGACACTGACGGATTGGGGTCGCACTGGACCTGCGCAGGGTTGGCATAAGGGGAACCTTTAAGCCCCATAATCAGCTTCCTGTTGCGATTGCCTTTCCCCTTTCTTTTGCCCTTTCGATCCTTGCGTCCTTTCCTACGGCTATTCTTTCCGAGCTGCTTTCGCCGACGACGTTTTTCTGCTCTTGCTCTTTTCAAGGCCTCTCTGCTGGAGCTGATCTCTGAAACTTTTGACCTTTTTACATCTTCATCATCATCATCTTCATCGTCGCCCCTTTCCATAACTTCTCCTTTTGGATCCTTTGCAAAATCTTCGTCCTCCGCTGTCGGCCCATGTTTCTGCATTCCAGTGTTGTGGTGTTTAGAACGAGACTTTTTAGCAGTAACAGCTGCCAACAGCACGACTGTAAATAATTACATAAGTTAGCATGAGCTTAATTTTTTTTGTATACAATAGGCAAANAGGACCATATGTTATTTTAAAAATGCATATAACTCTATTTAATGAACTGATATTAGAATTTTGACATTTGCTTTGAAAATCAATTGATCTCCATTTGTAAGCTATCTTTTTGATGCAGTGCCATCTGATTACGAGAAGTCAAAATGGCAATGAAAGCGTTGAAACTGTTCCACTTACAAAGTAGGAATATTGAGATCCTCATGCTTTATCCTTGCAATGCTACCAAGAATACAAACTTTGGTTTGAAAAACAAAGTAAATCCAAATCGGCTCTTAGCACGGCCGAGACAAGGTGAAGTGACGGCCAGACAGTTTTTCCTTCAATTTATACTACTACCCCACCGCGTGAACAAGCTTTAGAAGGCGGGTCTCACCACTCTAATGTCGGCAAAGTGTCAATTAGGATGTTGGGGTGGTAAATTTACGAAGGTTTGGCGGTGACAACCACACAGAAGCATGAGAGTATGCCAGATCAGCAGATTGGTACACTTTTTTGGGGGGAGGGTTTTGTGGCAGAAAGATATTTGTTCAAATGTTATTGATATCTTCTTATTAGCCAATGATCTAAACGCCAATCTTTGATCTCCGCAAGTCTTCTGAAAGTATTCCTTGTCATTCCTCTAACTTTATTTTTGACACATAGAAAATGTTTCTTTCCTTACTCCCCCCTCTTATTTTCTTCTCTAACTCTTACGATTTCCGATCTGCCATTTCACGCAAGATTTGAAACGCACCTGCTTACGATGGCCGTGTTCTGGTACTCAGTGACTCGGGAAATCATAATATATGGGATGGAGAAGAGCCAGTGATCTTCCCGGTCAACTGCCAATTAAAAGAACATCCCCCTTATTTACATATAATGACGTAATGTTAAGATAGCGGTTTGCAAATTTTCCAAAATAATACAAGCGCAAATTGGTGTGGTTATATGAAGTCACCAAAGCCGTTTTCGGTCGTTAGATCGGCAGGCGACAATATTATACGGCTATCGTTTGTTAATTGTCTGGTTTCGTTAGGGGGCAGATGAAGCATTTTTTTCTATTGTCAGCATTATGTTAAGCTAATATTCAGAAAAACCACCAGGAATCCTCCCGAGGCTTATACCGCAGTGGTCGTTTTTTCATTGTTTGAAGAGTTCTTTCAGTACGCATCAAGCCTGGACTTGTACCTACCGATATCACTTTTATACAATGACAGCTCTGCTGGAGTTCTCTGTTGGCCACCGACGCAGTCACGTTTTCACCAGATTTCAAATAATACACACCATACAATGACAAAGGTTAAAAAATAAAATTGATAAAAAAAAAAAACGGTCGTACTATCATCTTTTTCGAAGGAGAAGAAATTTTTGAAATTCCTACCCATGTCTAAATGAGTAACTGTCATAGTCTGAACATGTACCTGTGAAGAGAACTTCTTGGTGAACTAAATATGGAAGATATGACCATTTACATCATTTAAGGTTTGGTTTCCAGGCCAAACACCCAGGGTATCAAATGGTTTGCACATGTGTCATTTCATCTTTTTGCAACGTTTCTAACAGGTAGTTCAATGATTGAAGTAATTAAAAAAAAAAAAACGATATCACATATTTAAGTCATCAAAACGAAATTTTGCATGCGGCGTGATAAAAAAGAACTAAGAGAAAGAACATCTTCATAAATCCACCCCGTTTCCAAAAAAGGAACTATCCTGATTGATAACAGCCTCAGAAGGGTGGGAGTATTGGTCTTGTTTACTTTCCCCATGAATCAATATACATCGCCTCGTTAAAAACCACAGGTCGTTTTGTCTGTTAAATTGTTGTGCGGTTTATTTTGACGACAATCAGAGAATAGGTCTTTGGATTGCGTTTCAGCCGAAACTGCCGTCTGATAATCAGGATAATAGATGTAACTTGGTGCAACGCGTCACGTGATCTTAAGTTATTGGTCGAACTCCTGTTATTCTTAGTTGAAAAGTGATTTGATGAATAAGAAACTTCATTGCCTTATTTTGCCCTCTGCTCTTCCCTAAGATTTCAACTTTGCACAAGAAAAAAAAACTACATTGCACTTCAATCCATATATAAAAAGAGCTGTAAAATATCCCAGCAAACACCAGAAAGCGTTTCGAAAATGAAACGTTACCATTTGCTTCGACTTTAATGTCTCTTGGAAACTTGAAGCCCGTAACAGACGAGTAGTTTGTGAAGTCGAAAAACATAAAACCCATTGCTCTTAGGAGGTGCATCAAGCCAGACGTTTTTTCTCATACCTGCTGACCTCCATAACCACCAAAACATACGATTCCAACTGTGAATTGTGCTTCAAAATCTGGAGCTCATGAAAGAGAGGAAGGGAGTTTAACTCTTATCCACAGCCTACTGCCAGCATTTGTCACAAACACTTATCAAATACAGGCCACCGTTCGTCAGACATCAAAAACTTGCAACAGTCTTTATTTTTTCCTACAACAAGCACATTTGTCATATATAATATGCCACACTTTTTATTGCATTTATCATTAATTTCTATGAGCCGAACATGTGCTATGGTGTTCTTGTAGATGGTCTCAATGTTCTGGTTTCCTGCTAGAAATGCTGCCAGAATGCTGTGAAAACTTGGGTTAATTGTATTTTGTTTTTAAATGCATTGTTCATTTAGCATTAAGTTTGCATTTAATAAAGTCTGCCATGCTTATGCACTTTTCAACACGATCTCAAAACAAAATCATCTAGTACTAAGGAGCATGAAGCAGAATACTTACAAAGCACGTAATGAAAATATGAACATTGGTACCCTCTTACTCTAGCGTCAATGTTTTAAAAAGTTTATAAACAAATAGAGGGGCCACCCACCTTAAATTTAAGTAAAACAAGTGGACAAAATCCAGTATAAATTCTTTATTTACATTAGTAAATATGTTCAGACATAAATTGAAAAGTCATTTTCATAACTGATTGACAGAATAGATGCAAGTCAAAGACAGACACCATTTTACAGTGATTTTACACAGTCACGATTTGGTCCAGAAATTAAAATGTGACTCAAGTTCCTGCAACCTACCAAACACACTTCCTGTTTGATACAGGATCCAATGCTGATCTAAGAGGTAGCGGCAGTAGTTTTTTTTTTCATTATCCAACATCAGATCTAATCAAGTTTGTATCTTTTGGCCCCCTTTCTGGACTGAAGGTATCCTTTTCTTGTAAGATCTGGTATCTTGATTCTGTTTCAGTGTTAAACAGGAAAACTATCAACGATTTACAGCTTGTAAAAAAACTTGGTGAAAATCAGTTACTTTTTTCGTTTTAAATCACTACATCTACATTCTGCAATTATGCTCACCTCCAAATGTTGTACTCTTACATTATTATGTCAACTCCAACTTTAAATCAAAATGAAGCCTCTTTTGACACAAACTTTTTGAAAATTTCCGAGAATTTTAACAAGCTGTCAACTAGCAGAATGTGACTTCTTATGTTTGAGAATTTCTGTTGTAGTAAACGCAAAGTCTTGTCGGCAGATGTCACAATGGTAGTGTCTGCGTAATGGGTTCAACTCCTGACTTGTCCCTTCTTTTGTTCCAGTGTCTGGAATGAAGATGATAAAATAATTATTGTGTTTGGAAAAATCAGTAAAACATGTACTACAGTACAGATATATGCGAACCATACTGCTTGATGCTCACGCGAAAATGCAAATGACTGAAAAGATTCTAGAATTTGAAACAAAAGAACAAACAAACAAAAGAAATTCAATGTGGAATACAACAACAGAAACCTGTTTTTTCAGGAAAATAAAAGATGGCAACTTCATGAAAGTGCCACATCCAGAACAGGTCTTTATACCTTCCTAAATCACTGTAACTAAAGTTGAAGTGTAGGCAAGTAGGCTGTCACATTTGACCAGAAAGAAGTACTCTATCTAAACCTTGTAGCCATACCAAATGTGAAACAGCAGGCAACTATGTCTGAATCCTCATTATGATAAGTGGAGGACAGAATCAAAATCAAGTACAAACCGCAGTAATGTTACACTGCCATTTAGTTAAAAATTGATTAATGGATTAAAACAGGAAGAGAGAAAGTTTTTATGGAGTAGCATGGCCGGATGTGTCCACCTGTCCACTATATAACCATAGCAGGCCCAAGAAAACATTATCAAAAGTAATGCCTATTTAAAGAAGGAATAGAGTTGACAAATGTCTGGATTTTTGGGGCAAAAACCATATAAGGCAAGAGAATGGCATGGTCTCACATCTCAAAGAGAAAAATGTATGATTCATTGTTATTATTTTTGAAGTTTAACACTCAAAGCTAATAAAGCATGTCAACTTACAAAGTACTAGATGACTTTAAATTGCACACTTTCCCTCACACATTAAACTGAATTAGACTGTTGACTAAAGTGTACTCTGTGACTTAACAAGTTGGAGGTTCTCTTAATTTTTTTTAAGTTAATTTTTTTAAAATAACATACCTAAATTGTGTTTCAAATATAGTCTTCAATTTTAAGTACACAATCTCTGATATTTCTCTTATGCTTCAACATTCTATATAATTTCAAAAATTTAAATAATTTGAAAGAGAACTAAAGAGCTTGAAGAATAGCTACAGGACATATATCCAAAAAGAAATATATCCATATCTTTTTCAATTAAAAATAACATAAGATCACCACTTAAATGTCAAATAGGGATTTATATGTCCAGTTTCAATGATGGTCATGTTGCTAAAATTTGCCTTAAGCTCCAGCTTGAAAAAAAAATCAATACCAACCAAAAAAAAAAAAAGTGTACAAGGTACAATGTGGGCAGTGAAATGTAAAATTTTCTTAACTTCTAATAAAAACAACCTTCACACTTTGGGGGATTTTTTCAATAAGCAACATTAAAGTATTTTTATGTTCCCCAAATAAAAAGATATTCCTTTTAGCAGTGGCGGGGTGTCTCCAGCTGTGTGGAGTTAAGTTTCAAATCACACATGATAGGTTATGACTTAGATTTTATGCTCAAGTAAAACTGTACATAGTTATAGGGACCACATGGAGTTCACCAGACCACATTTTCACACCAGCCAGATACCAATAAATCATGGGAATCACGCAGTCTCCATTATACACATATTGTTGGTGTTTTATACAGGGATTGGTGAAGAAATCACTCAAAAGTTGTTACCTGTGTCATCTGTCACCTGACACTGACTTTCATGCTGTAATCGCTCCATCAGGGTGACAATCATTGACTCTGAACACTTGGGGCATGTCCAGTGCTTCTGCATGTAGGTAGTGTATTCCCCGTACACCGGGGCTTCCGCATCACCCTGCAAGCTGAAAGTAACATACATCTTTTATAAATTTCTAAAGGTAAAAAGCAAAATAAAATATTAATTCAAAAAGCTGAAAAGAAAATTAATCAAGACGACATCTATTATTTAACGTACAACAAAATGTAAACTGTAAGGCCAGAGCTTCTGTCTCCCCAGGTACACGGGTGGAAATTGTAAAAGACTGAAAATCCTGAAAATGAAGCTATGTAAAAAAAAAAAAACAAAACAAAAAAAAAAAAANNNAAAAAAAAAAAAAAAAAACAATAAATCAATGACTGAAAATCCTAAAATCCATAATCCTAAAAAACTTCCACCCATGCAAGTATACAGCCAAGAGGTGCTCTGCGGGCTGCTTCACCAAGCCTTTATTAGCTAAAAACTAATGGATATGAGATTCTTTTGGTAATTGGTATTCTTTGAGTACATTTCAAACACATGGGTTAATCAAGCAAAGAAAACTGTAATCTTTTTCTAACAATATCTTAGGCTCTATTCCCATAGATTTTAGATCGATCTATCCCCGCGGGGAGTCTCACTAGATTACTTTCAGATAATCCGACTTAAACGTCCGTCCCGCCTACTACAAGCTGTAAGGGGTTAATTAACTTTCGTGTCCGCTCGGCTGACAGCTATTTAGCGTGAACCCCCAGGGAGTTAGGTCGATCTAAAGTAGGTCGATCTAATCTATGGAAATGGGGTGTTAGTCATGCCAGTACAACTGAAAAGTTAAAGGTACAATGAAATCTGGGTCAAGAACAGGTCTGGGAAAGCATACCCCCACACCATTCGCATTTTTTTTTTTTTTTGCAATAAGTGGTACATTGTACAGGAAGTGTTTTTGGCCATGTTCAAAACTAAAATTTACTTAGAATGGAAAAATGTTTGAATTCATGAGACAACCGCAATATGTTAGGAACCAATGGAGCATTATATTTTTAATTTCATATCTGGTATTCTGGTTGAAAGGTTAAATGGGTAACAAGTCCAAGATTTATGTCTCCTCATTAACCCAGGCAAAACTATAAATACAGGAAAAACACAAATATGGTGTTCAAAATTTGGCCAGTGACAGCTACTTTTATTGAAAGGTCCCTCTAGTAAAATAATAGTGTTAAGTTATTATATAGCATTAAATAAAATTGAATCAATTAAAATTATAGCAGAAATCATAGCATAAATAATAAATATCCACACAAATAGTGCACATATTTTCATTTCACCTACAGAGACAGGGAGACAAAAGTACTTCTACAAAGTTGCAACATGTAAATCAACCACCACCTTTTCTACTGGAAACGTGTTGCCATGTCTATGCAGCTGTCCATGCCTCAATGCACTGAACACCACTAGGGAACTAATACACAGCTGAAGTCTGCAGGGGTGAATCATGTAATTTATTCTAACTGGGAGGAAGGAGGCCTGCTGGGGCAGACTTCAGCTGGGGAACAAGAAGGGCAGGGGCCACACATTTTGACATTTCTAATAAAACTAAGAAGACAACACTTGAATTATGATATATGGTCCCTTCTGCCACTACTTATGCTGTTACTAGATTGTTTGAGGGCACATGTTCAGGGTAAAAATAAGAAAGACTGATAACCTAAGTCATTCATAATCCCTAAAACTTTTTCTTTTACATATATATCAAGGATGAAAACCACCAGGTATAATGTGTTTAGATCCAAAGGTGTTAAAGAGTAAAGAGTAAATTTTATGGTTTCTGCCTTAAGTTAAGAAGGGGAAAATGCAAAATTGACACCCATGATATTAATAAATTTAAGAACTATGTCACATTTTAAAAAGTCACAATTAGTGTTGATAATTTGCTATCTCATAGTTTTTGTCATTTCCAAAAGAGTACTGAAACAAAAATAGATTTTTGATGACAGAGATGATAAGCAAATTCCTGAGCCATTTCAATTCATATCTCTTAGGGAATCTGATACTCTAAATGACATTGTCTGTTTTTTCTAAAAACAATTTTAGATAATGTTACATTTTTTCCCTTAAAAAATTACGTGGATATCTTAAGACACAGCTGAAGGACCCCATAGGTTAAAAAAACAACAACGCAGCTTCATTACATGCACAGGCACTTCATAATACTGTACAATAAAGGGCAACATGACCCTGGGGTACATTTTGTAGAGGGCAGAATTGCAGATTAAGATCAGAAAAAAACACTTAGAGAGCAGGAGTGTCGAATGAACAATTTTGATGAAAAATACTAGACACCATTTTTATTTTTAAATGTGCTTAACCAACAATGATTATGATGTATAGTATATAACTATTGCATAAAAAAGCCAACTAAAACAAAATATTTGCCAAATTTTGAAGCTCTTATAACATTTTGTAAATGCCAAAAGTTAGTTGCACGAACCAAACTTAGATTTAAACAAATAACAAACAAAAACATTTCACAATAGTTTGTATTTTTAGAATCTTAAATTATAATGCTTGCTTAAATCACTTTCCCAATGAAGTTACACTAGTCAATTGGGGGAAACATCTAGTTCAGAGGCAATCAAGGACAAACTTCATAAACAAAGAAGGTATGAATGGAGTTAAACTCAATGCCAGAACAGCATTTATGTTTAAAGCATAATTTTCTTCTTTGGCAGATGTCCATCTGTTATGTGTTGACTATATCATATGGGATATATCACTTCTCTTTCCCTGCAACTTCTTGAAAGAAAAATAAACTTCTGACTTGAGGTTATGTACAGACTCAACTTGGCAAATGTTTTTTTTTTTTTTTTGCAACCTTACTTGTTTTGTACACAATTCTTTGATAATATTGACATGCCCAACACAAAATAACCATGGTAAAACTAGCTATGACAATAGTTACTGGGTAAAATTTTGACAATAGTGGAAAACTCATATACAGAACAATGGTCATCGAGAAAGACTGTAGCTTTCACTTCCCACGGTTAGTGACAGTCTATCGCAGGTAACTCCCAAGCAAATCGTGCTAATACCCATTTCTACAACTAGGTGAACAGAGACACTATGGAGAAAGTGTATAGGGATTCCATGTGGACTTTTTGCCAACAGAATTCTATCCCCAACCTCCATGTTAATCTAGTACTCTGCCATACCATTCTGCTACCCAGTCACCAGACATAATGATACAAAACACACCATCCCAACTTAAGTTAAACCGAGACTTTTGTATACCATTTTTTTAATCATGATATTCAGTGCTATCAGGAGAGCCAACGTCTTGAATTCTAAACATACATTATAATTACCAAATAAAGCTGCTCTTGAGTATACAAGCTAAGATCAGCTGCATATTACTCACCAATTGTATACCAAATATTCCTTGACTTGGATCCCTCCTTTCACTGGGTGTGGCTCCCCTCCCAATGTAGAGAACTTCATAATATCACTGATTACATCATCACCACCTTTGACATCTGGAAAGTATACCTTCTAAATATCAAATGCTTAAAAACTAAAAGTATTATTTTTCTTACATGAGGCTATAGGCTGCAAAAACAACTATTTTTTTGGGCTGTATATCATTTATTTAGCTGCATACAGAGTTGTTAAAATATATATCCTTTCAGGCTAATACTTTTTTCACGATACATAATTTTATTTAAAAAATTGCATGTACTTTTATATTTTACATCTTTTTTTTTAAACATGGTGCTGATCTCTGGCGGAACTTAAAAGTACTTTGACATTTAAGGCTTTGAGGCTATAAGTAGATCAAAATCAGTATGATTCTTAGTCTTTCACCTTATTAATGTGCCTCTGAGGGCACTACATGAAAGTACTACACAGGGCATACATTCTTAAACCCAGCACCACTGTGCTTTTCAAGCTTTGTATCAGTCATATCAACTTTGCTCTCTACATGGCTTATTTGAATGATGGATCATGTCAACCTTTGTAATAAAAAACATTTAAAGGATCTACACATTTGAAAGCAAATTTGAAAGGGCATAAAGAAATTAATCACTACTTACTTACTGAAAATCATGAACAAAAATTCATGTAAAACTCTGTGAAGAATTTTGTGATTTAAAAAATGGATCAAGGCGTCAGTCTTTACCTTCGCTTGGACCCAAATAAAGGTGCTGGAGTTCAGCAGCCAGAACTCGGCGGATAGAGTACACCACTTTACTATCCAGGAAACTGGTCAGCTTGCCAGCCAAAAGTCTTTCCAACTTTCTAAACTTTGGGTTGAACTTGTCTTTTTCGTCCTGTTCTTTTTTGTTGATAGTATCTGGAAGTGAGTGGATGAATTGAAGTGATACTGGTTAAAATTTTCTTATCTTTTATAGACTCTGAACCAATTTTAGTAAGATTTAATTTGTGGTTGTTTATCATTTGTTTCTACTATCTTTTTTAAATGAATTTCTTCTATTTTAATAATTGAAAGTTCACACTGACTGGATTATCGACTCCTGACATACTATTTACAGCATTTAAGAGCAACAGGAAATATGTGAGTTAGAATGTCACTACTTTAAAGTAAGAAAAAATGCAGCAAAGTAAATGCAAAAATAACAAAAAATGTTTCTTTAAAAATTTCTTTGAGAAGCTGTTATGAATTCACTGTTTAGAGAGTGGGAAACCAGTACAAATATCTAAATCATCTGTAATGAATTCTTGTCATGCCACTGCAAGAAAAGCTCGTAATTTATCCCAAGTTATATGAAATTGAGAATTTAAGTTGAAACCCCAAATGGTTTTTGAATCAAAATTTTCTTCTCTGCATGGTTGACTATTAGATTGTTACAGAGTGCAGGAGTTAAAAAGATATATAGTCATTCCACTTGTTTGAAATGTCAATAAATGTTACAATTCTTCAGAATGAATGGGGGAATAAATCACTTCCGCGATGTGTTTGTCATTTTGATTGCAGCATTACACCTCTCCTCTATTCTTTGTCAACATGTTTTTGTCAAAACAGATTAAACTGCGGTTTGTAAAACAATGCTCTATGTATCTTGTTTTAACCACACACCAGTCCATCCCAAACCTCAAGAGCCATGGTCCATCAGCAACAACTGAGCCGATGTCACTATAAACAGAAAAACAATGTCACTAACAATGTAAGTTGATCTGAACACATGGGGCAGTCACTAACCCACCCCAGGGATGTCAAGTATCAGTGAGAGAGTGCAGATTCCATGACAGTGACTCTCATCTCTAATAGTGCATTAGCACTCTTGCAATAGTTAACGGCAAGTGGGTGGTGACAATTAGAACTCTCAACTGGAAGTTTTTAGTGCCTGGACAAAAAATGCAGCTTGAGAAAAGAGCTCAAAAATCAGCTTTGACTGGTCCTCCTTTTGAAGAAGTCTTTGTCCTGTTAATGTTTTTATGGAAAGCTGATTCAGTGGGAAATAATCCAACACCAATGTTTGTAAAAATTCACAGAGGCAATAAGTGCGCGAACTTGACCTACTCCAATGTAATGCAGATGGAAACTGACTCTTTCAAGAAAAAACCTACACACTGAATTAAGAAACTAATGCCTATAAAACAGAAATAACACCAGCAAATTTAACTCATAAATCCTGCAAAATATAGTAATACCCCCTAAAGCTTTATCTAGAGTTGTTTTAAAGGCATCACAATGGTGAACAATGAACTACAAAGTTTGGCAAACAGAGAAACAAGCAATAATTTCATCAAAAATGTTGATATTCACTTTTACATACCACAAAGACACAAATAAAAATGAAAGGAAAAAAAAACCTTTTTGTTTGAACAATGATGTGAAAAGGAGAAATATATCAAAGGATATCAAAATTCTCTAAATAAACAGTTTCTAACAAAGCAGACAGATATACTTTTTCCCATTGTAAGTTTAAGTTCAGAAACTTAAAAAACAAAGAAAAAACGTGGTTAACCGTAAGCTCTGTAATAACAATTGTGGTTTCAATAGTCTGTTAACCTCAGACTTATTGGTCTGATGCTGGCTTAAACTAATAAGGCGTTAACTGTGCCAGGACTAGCCGGGCCTTAATGCCCATACACGCCTTAAGTTCAGTTGATTTTATTACATGCATTATCTGATGGAAAGACATGACAAGCTGAGCCTGTTTTTTTTTTTTTCGCTTGAATTGTACTTCTTGATAACTGACAAAGCACAAACACAGGGCATATACTGTACTGCCACAAAAATCACATTTAATTTTCTCTTAATGTATTCATGTTGAAGTGTAACAAAGATTTTTGTGGCATGCAAAAGTACAGACATGTAGACAGCAGCAAGACAATGAAAAACAACTACAACAATGAAAAAAAAAAAAAAAAAAAGCAATTGACCATATTGTCATAAATTATTCGGTTTCTCAAATAGAAGCATTCTTTCTATTCATAGCAACAATACACAATGGTCTGTGCCAAGTGTAGTTTAAAAAAGCATACAGACATTGTTTGTAATGCTCTTTTATAGTATTACCACATGAAAGCAGGATCAAGATCTTAATGTGTAACTACCACAGAAGGTCAGCTGAAGGAAATTTAGTGCAAAAAGCGCAACAGAAAGGGTCAGATCACATGGGGAGCGGAATCAAATGTGTCTCGATGCTTCAGCATGTGGCTATGACAGTCACTATTGTGTGTTTTATTTACTTTGTACCAAAGACAATGGATGAACCCATCATCTGACAGGGACAGCCTTTAAGTTTTCCTGTCTATGTCCAGCAATAGGGGCAGATCTTTATGTGGGAGTTTCTAAATCAGTTTATGTGTTTATCAAGCCTTAGTTTCCTTGTGTCTCCTTGGAAGTAATTGAGAATGTCTAAAAGTTTACAAGAGGAGTGATGTTTGATTACTGCTATGAATAACATGGGTAATGGAGGAAAACTACCTTGAAGTTTCATCTTGAGCAACTCTTGCAGCAGAGTTCTGAGCTGGATAACAGCAGACATGATATTCTCTGCAGCTTCCACTTCTGCAAATCTTATCTCTAGCCAACCTTCACATACAATTCTGAAAGACAAGATAAAGAGATAATCATTTTGATTTGAGATATTCATTTCGATTTGATAAAGAGATATTCATTCTGATTTCTTCAAAATTAGTGTTTCTCACTTTTGGTAGCCATTTTTGCCTGGCCTAACTACATCATTTGCAATAACCAGGTAACCAACACTGCTCAATATGGCATTTTTTAACTCAGAGACAAGGTGTGATCTGATTTAACATGCTAATCAACAAAGGAAATGAGAGCATGTACATAAGATATTACAATGCTTCAGAGATGTGAGGCATTGATCTTAAGTTGCATCAAATAATGAAGATTGTGAGCATACACTTTTTAAAAATTTCTCATGAAAGCTTAGGATAATACTTTTCAACAAAATGCAAGAAAACTCAATCTAAAAAGCACTGTTATGTAATCTTTTGATTCTGTAATGAAGCACTTGCATTCTGCCTAGCTGAACTAACCCACAATTTACACTGATCCCTCTCTCTTTATTTTCAGTAAGTAATATCATATAACCATGTCACCTGGGTGTCTGGTCACACAGTTTGGGCAAGTCTCTCACCTGGTGCAGTCAGCATTGGTGTCCAGGCTGTTTGAATACAGTAGCAGGGTTTGCAGTGCTGGGACTCTCATCAGATTTACAAGGTATGGCTTATTGGTTTCCAACAAGGATCTTCAATACAAGATAATATGAGAAGTTTTCAAAGGCTCCTAAAATGATCACCAGTATTAACTGATTAAGTCTGTAGATTTAATGGTCTGGGTACATTACATGGTGTTAATAATACAGCCAATTTGTCTAGGTACAAAAACAGTGACATAAACCATTGTGGTATATCAACTTACACAAATGCCACCAGTTCATGCTTGCTGCTCATCACATATTTCTGATTCCCTACTTCAGTTCTTTCCATGTCTATCTCTTGTAACTGTAAGACCTCTGGCTGGTAGGAAAACACACTGGTTGGGTGAATCACTACAAAAGGCTTGCTCTGAAATAAATAATATAATAGTATCATTACATTAACCATTATTCTATAACAAAGATTGCATTGTCTCTAATTGTATAAACAAAAACCAATTTGGAAAGAGATTTATTTTCAGAAGAAAAATAATGAGAGCTATGACATAAATGTGAACAGTGTTAATGTTCACTGAACACTTTCCCTTTACCTTCATAATCCAAACTAAATTCCTCCAATATACTTTATTTGTGAACATCTTTAAAAAGATGGTTCTTCTTACAGGACTACTTTGGCATCATCAGATGTCCAAATATTTGGATCTCTTTGTCTGTGTAATCTCATATGAATTGGGCCCATTAAATACAATCATGTCTACATCAAACAAAACTATCAATATCCCACCTTTGTATGAAATGCCTGCTCAGAGTCTGCTTTATATGAGTTGCATTCATCTGCTATGGCCACCTGAGGATAGAGTCCACTGCACAGGATCAGTTTTAACAGGTTGATGTCACGCAGAGTAAAACTGCGACTGGATTTTTCCTGCAATAATCATTATCATAAAAAAAATTAAATTGTTTACAAGGATTAGAAAAATAAGATTAATGAAAAAACATATATATTCATTAATTAAAAAGAGGTTTAAGATAAAATCATAATTATCAGAAGATAAAGCAATTACATAAATTAAGAGGCGTAGATGTTAAACAAAATCAACAATGTGAAAAACTTATGTATGTCACCTGTAACTGATCAAGGTCATGTGACAGTCTGAATTCCAAATCTTTAACATTGGCCTCCACATCATTTTCTTCATCACTGCTAACTTTAAAATCCTATAAAAATATTTATAAAAAAAGCAAACTTTATCTGATCCCTTTAAGCTTTACAGACAGGAAAATTAAAAAAGTAAGAATGATTTAAACAGTAAACTGGGCTGCTCATTTTTAATAGTTTTTTAAAAGATTAGTCATGATTAGTATAAAACATTAATATAGCAACATTTGACAAAGACAAATCTCACTGTGGTTACCTCATCTGTCACTTTCAATACTTTTCTTTTCTTTGTGGCTTTTTGCTGCTCCCTCCTTAACTCCCTCAACCTCTTCCTGTCTCCATGTCTCTGAGCTCTCTCCTGACTGGACAAGTATCTCTCATCTGGGGCCTCTCCCGCTGACCCCTGCCCCACTAGACCATGGTCCTGAGAAACAGTTGTCATCAAGAATAAATAAATAAATAAATAAATAAATATTCAATACATATCTCCAGGTCTGGAACTCTTCATTAGTTTTATACAAGCTTGACATTTTCAAATTTCTAATTGAAAATCTCTCATCATTATTATACAAGGATGAGATATGTTCACCTTCAGCAACTCCTGGAACTGCCTCTTAAGCTTGGTCATCTCATAAAATCTCTGTTCTTCTAATCCCTTTCTTTTACACCACTTTCTTGTGCCTCGTCCCTCTGCTTTGACCTGAAGCAGATAAACAAACTATAAACTATCAAGACACATACATTTAAAGAGATACTCAAGATACATACATTTAAAGAGATGCCGATACAAAATTCACCGCAATGGAACAAGCTCAAGGTTATTATACATAGCATCCAAAACTTATATGTAGTTGAACATGATGACTGGGATTTTGTTGAAGACAAAGTCATAGATCAGGTCAACATCAAAGAGGAAAATAGTATGTAGATTATGTGAACACATCATCTGAATCATCCACAAAGGTGCAATACCTCATTGTGGCGGAATACAATAAGTGGAGTCTCACAAGATACAAATACATTCTGAAAAGAAATGCCTATACTAGGGGAGAGGCAAATCACTTTACTGCAAAGTGATGAAAAAAGTATTTAAGGCTTATAATTGGAAAGTTTCACCTGGCTAAAGAAACTTTTCTGGAAAAACGAAAGCTTTTGTAGGTTTTAACTTAACAAAATATTGAGATGGTGACCAGGAGGAAGCCGAAATTCATGACAATGGAAGTATAATGGACACTATACATATATACATGTCGAATTTAGCGAAGAAAACTTTTCAAAGGTAGATATTTAGTTATATAGAATATGCATGCTGCAGATTTTTAATTTCTTCAATAAGAAAATGTCTCACCTGAATCCATTCATCAAAAGCATTAAGCAAAGTAAAGGGGTCCCCATGGTCAGATTCAATGGACTTCCTAGAGCTCTGAGGAGTTAAAAATGTATCACTTTATAAAAAAATCTTCAGTGCTGGAAATTCCCTTGCCAGTAACAATTATTCAAATATTTTATAGGCATTGTTTACAAGAACCTTTGTTTTACTTGAGATTTGTTCATACCACAACAACTTGTAACCTTTGTAATCTGGCTGTTTGACGATGCAAATAGGATTGATTTCCAGGCATAAGCAGCCCTGGCTGAAACACACCTTTCTAGAATTATTACTTTAAAATATCTGAGGTACAAAGACCAGGGAGTTATTTAAACATATTTATTTGCTCATTTATCAGCTTACAATGGCATCATGGTCAGTGTGAGCTCTGCTGGTGAAAGGAGACTGGACACTGAGGGCAGCAGCAATGGACAACACGGGGTCAATCATCTGAAAGAAAAACATAATCAGTGTCTTAAATTTGTCGCACTGAAAAAATATGACTGGTTATATTTTTTTTTCTGTTATGCAACAACAACAAAATATGTACAAAGTTCCAGTTAATTAAATAATATCATATCATTATTACTCAAAATTACCATCACTATAAAATCTCTTACTTGAAATATGGAACCAAGAATGAGCATTTTTCCAATGACTACATCCACAGGTAACTGGGCAAGCATCTCACCAATAGGGGTCAGTTTCTCATCTTCTGTAAGAGCTCCCTGTGAACAGATACAAAAACAGTGATACTTTATATCATTTAATAAGAGAGAAAGCAATTTAATTAAAAAAGGCTTTATTATCTACCTTGATTATGTTCACACTAATATATGAGTACAATTTTAAAGGATATGGGGAAATGAGCTGACCTGTTCCTTCAGAAAAGCCACAGAATTTTCTATGCTGCTGTCAGATGGTGGTTCAATGAACGGAAACCTGAGGTTACAAAAGATATTCATATATACTTTATTTTACAAGTATATATGCTGCTCATATTTCAATATACGTTTCTCTAGTTTCACACAGATTCAAGTACAATGACCGAAAATATAGACAGATGTTATGAACTTACTTTCTAGCATCAGGTAGCCCCATAGAGACCATCTGAAGGATCAATGTATCTAGTGGTACCCTTTGTATCTCAGGAGTGGCATACTCCTGGAAGGCATCATAGTCACTCTCATCATACAAACGGTAACACACACCTGGCCCAGTTCTTCCTGTGAGAAGAGATGATAATTGTTCAATCATATGACAATAAAAATATATTTCAATTGAAAGAGATGCATTTATAATTCACCTTGAAAATTAGTCTTTAATTGGTTCATTCATTTTCTTTAGCTCATTTAGTTTCAATATTGAAAAAAATGTTTAATAAGGTATGAATGTTGTGGTCAAATACATATATAATTTAAGTCTACCTGCTCTGCCTTTCCTTTGCTCAGCACTAGCTCTACTGATCCAGAATTCTTGCAATTTACGCATCTTATACTTAGGATCATAGCTCATCTCTTTGACCTAAGGAAGATAACAAGCGCTTCAATTTTCATGATTCAGTAAAATGAACCTAAATGTATATACAAAACAATCTACTATCCTGACCTATATGCTGATTGTAAGTTAATAACATACCTTTCCTGAGTCCACAATAAATCTGACACCATCAATGGTGACTGATGTTTCTGCAATATTTGTTGAGATAATACACTTTCTAATGCCCTCAGGAGGGTAATCAAAAACCTGGGAACAAAAAAAGATACACTATATCATAATTTTTATTTAGAAACATATATCAATGCAATTCAAGATGAATATAACACAGTAGGCATAAAGGGCATCTCACCTCAATCTATTACAAAAAATGGCTGAAACTTTGATTAAAAAAAAAATGAACACTTTTATATCTGAGATATCATGAATCTATCAAGTGACTGTATCTTTTCATTTAACTTCCCTTTTTATATTTCACTACACACCGGGCCATACACACCTTGTCCTGTTCTGAGATGGAGAGAGCACTGTGAAGAGGAAGAACAATCCATCTCTTGGATTTCTGAGCAAACATGTTAGCTGCCTCCACCAGTGTCATGATCTCGGCCATGCCACTGAGGAATATCAGAAGATCACCACGCTCAGAGTCTGGATACTAAAACAGGGGCCAAATAGTGTGCAATTAGTTGTTTGTAAATTAAGGTTATGAGATGCTTTCACAAACTATAATGCCATGGTCAAGCACACTTATTTCCATAATTTTGAGTCAAATTAGATATAACAGTAAATACATCCTTGCCATATGATGTAAGCAGCTTGTAAGCAGTGTTACACCAACAGCATCAAATAATGGAGCAACACTTACGTATTCTATTTATATTGTTATCAATTCAAAATACTGAAATGCTCAAACCAATTTTTCGAAAATAAATATTAATATAATCATAATGGTAATGTAAGCAGGACTAAATACTTACTTTGTGATTTATCATTTGCATTATCTTTAGGTAAGGCGATGGATCAATTTTTCCCTTTTTCTCCTCTTTATCTGCTTGGTCAATGGGGTGATACTGCAACTGTATAGGGTACAGACGCCCTGGCACCTAAAGAAATACTAACTTAAACATTCCACTATGTAGGTAGTTGATTTCTTAAATAAAATAAATTCTATATATCTAGATTTGTCAAAAGCATATTCTCAAGATGTAAGATAATGAGTCTATGTCCTTCTATTTATTTAAAGCAATATTTTCAATTTTAATAATTATAAAGTTCTGGGCTGTACCTTGATTACTGGGGCATGATCAAAGTATCCGCTGAACATGTCAATGTTGATGGTGGCTGACATGAGGACCACTTTGATATCATCACGATGCTGAAGTAGACACTTGACAACACCAAGCAAGAAGTCAGTGTAGATGTGACGCTCATGAACCTGAAGTACAGACATGACTAAGATGTAAGTATTTTAGGAAATGTGTTCATAGAAAATCACCAAATATGCAATAAAAACATGAGATTTAAAATGATGCAAGCACAAATTGGAAAATGCACTCATATCACAATAATGTACATTACTTTTGACAAATCCAAATCAATAAGAATACCTTTCTTTAGGTAAAGAAGACAAAAAATCCTTATGCATCAACATAATATTTCAACTATAATAAACTTTACATCATGACCTACAGTGCCCAGGTTCAATGCAGTGCCATTGCTGAATCACTAACTCCTTTCCTACAACTTTTTGATCTCTTCATAATTTAAGGTAAAGAGTAAAAGATAAGGCAATTTCTCTCAATCTTAAATCTACAGAAGTACAAATGGTAAGAACATAAGTAATTTAAAGTTTCACTAGGACAAAACGGTGAATAAACATTATAAATTCATCCACTATCTAATTTTATTCAGCTTACCTCATCTATTACAATGACATTGTACTGCTTAAGGAAAGGGTCTGTTGTCATCTGCCTTAGCAATAGACCTTAAATGACAAGTATGGTGTATTCATAATAAAATCAATTATCTTTTGCAGGTTTGAGTTTGCATCTTTTTTCATTATCAATCAAACAAAACCATGTTCAATTATTTTGTTACTAAGTAGATTAAAACGTGTGCATCTCTCTCTCTCTCTGTCTCTCTCAGATTCATCTATCTCTTTAATCTAAAAAGTAACCATTAAGATGAGAACCCAACATCCGTAAAATTAAATAATTCACAGATACCTTCTGTCAAGAAAACTATCCTTGTGGCTCTTGTTCTGGATCTTTCAAATCTAACCTGTAAAGAAAGGTAATATCAGTCTATTTCCCATTCAATTAAATGACATGCTATAGATAACACAATTTTATTTAGTCGGGAATATAAAAGACAAAGTCACATTTTACTTATTAATCTAACACCTTCATAGAATATGCAGATTTTACCAAGTATAAAGTTTCATTAACATGTCCCTCTACATACCTGATAGGCAACTTCTGATCCATATTCATTCAGTGTTTCATAACCCACTCTTTTACTGAGAGAAATACAAGCAATTCTGCGGGGTTGGGTGCAGGCAATGTTAGTGTAGCCTGCCTGTAATAAGTACTGGGGAACCTAGAATAACAACAGAAAATTTATATATTTTCAACAAATAACATGCCTTGATATAAAAACTGACTTAAATCGGACTTAAAACTGAGCCATGAATATCATATTGGACCCAAAGATCAGCAGTTAAGTAAAAGAAAATGACAGCAAGATAGCAGAAATTAGACATGGGCCTGAAATTGTTAACACAGATATTTAGGGACGCCTCTTATTAAGTACATACCTGTGTTGACTTTCCACAGCCTGTGTCTCCAGCCACCACAATTACCTGGTACTCTTTCAGTGTTTCAATTATCTTTTCCTTATACTGATATATGGGCAGATTTTGCTGGTCCTTCTTTATCTTTATTAATTTTGAAAACTGGAAAAATAATGAGGAAATTCTGAGATGTATTTCAAGTTTTTATTGGTGTGTGACAGACAATGTGCCTTAAATGATCTATTTAAAGAACCCAGATAGCCTTTTGGTATTACAGTGAAACTTACAATGGACAGGAAAATATCAAATACTTGCTAAGTAGGGGAAAACCTGTTGGACCTTTGCCAAAAATAAACAAGAAATTAGTAAAGTCTCTAGATCTAGCTTTATATCAAACTCTATTAAAATGGCAGTCAAACCAATAATGAAAGTTAAAACATAAGAATGGCTAATGCAATGTATAAATGTTCTTTTTTTTATTAAATAGTGTGTTTTCTATTACCTTCTGCTTCTGGCAAAAATCAAAGTAATGCAACAAGATGCTTCTAAATTCAGCTATCCTCTCCTTATTCAATTGAGATTTTTCTGGAAAAAAAGGATACCTGAAAATGCATCTTTTCTTGCGAAATTGCTATTGTCAGAATTAACTGATCTCATTTGCAGAAATCTAGGGTTGTTACTGTTGATCTTAGACAAAATGTAAGGATTTCAAATGGGTTTTTACCTTTGTGCTTACTTCTTCCATACTTCAGCATATCTTCTATGTCCTTAGTTGCCACAGAGAGATTGATCTTGTATCTTTTGTCATACTTCATTGGTATACCTAACTTGCTCTCTTTCAAATTTGATTTAGATCTGTTACCTGGAAAAAGAATATCTTGAAATGCAAATATGAAAACTTAACAATAAAACAAACAAAAGAATATGATAAGAAAAAAATCAAATTGCTTTCATATATATACACTCTTGCAATCTTACACTTTTTCTTTTGGGTATATCTGATTTTATGATGTGAATCATTCTTATCCATTAATATAGATGCATTCCCTATTTTAACCAGCTAAATAACCAAAAAACAATTAGTAACAATATGTCAAATTTGTCAATATTAATATAAGTCAATTCTAAATCTGCAAATGTGGCAGCATTTGATACCTTTTTGCTCCATTGCTTTCTTCCTGTTAAAAGCCTTGAACTTCTTCAGGAATGCCCAGAAGTCATTATAATCTTGTGAGCCCCTACAGATTGAAACTCAGTTATTATAAATATGACTTGAAAGGAATGACTGCTAAAAATGTACATGCAATGGTAACAAACATTTAACAGCAACTTTGACACCTTTGTTATGTTCCTTATCAATCAAAAATCACCTTATGTGTTTTATATCCACTCTTTGCTTCATTCTTAATATAAGGACAAACCTTTTTATTAGGTCATCTTCTCTAAAGAACATTTTGTCAAGAGTTGATTTTTCACATTCGAAGTCAAAATCATCAAATTCCTTTTCACTTTCTGAAGAGCTCTCAACCACTTCTTGTGAATGATCACCCTGTGTTACAGAGGCTTTAGCTTCTGTTTCATGTTTTTGCTTCAAATATGTAGTTGAATTTTCAACAACTTTCTCATCCTCCCCATACTGTTTTCTTTTCTTGTGCCTGTCTGTATACAGAGTTGGAGAGGAATCATATCTGTCTTTAGAATCATGTCTGTCTTCTTGTTTTCTTCTGTGGGGTGAAGTAGAAAAACTTTCTCTAGATCCGTGAGCCTTTCTCTCCTCCCTGTCTTTACCACTCCTACTTGAAGACCTGCTTCTCCTTCTGTGCCCATCTTTGTGTTTGTGCTTCTTTTTGTTTCTATCGTGTCTGTGTCTACTATGATGTGAGTCTGTTGGTGATCTGTGTCTCTCGTCCCTTTTTGGTTTTTCTCCATCTCGATCATTTTCTGTCCTCGGCATTTTCTTTTCTGTTTCGTATGATAGCTGACATAATTTAGACAGTTGTGCATCAACAGTTGCCTTAGACTTTCATCACATCTGCACACAACAATAACACTACATTTCAACGTTACCCATCTTCCTGCTGCTCCAAAACTTGCAAAGCAAACGTGCGCGGGCTCATCTTGAATGACCCATATAATGCCAACGCATGCGTAAATTGAGGGCGCAAAAATATGAGAAGGCTGTGCACTTGTTGTTTCAAAACATTGCAAAGCATTTCCTTAAAATCAGCAAGATGGCAAGTGAACACCCAAATAAGCTCCAGGAGATAAAGGGGTACGTCGAAATATGCCATTTATAGTTACAAAATATGAAACCTATTTTACTCCATTATCAAGCAATTATAACGTCTCTTACACGGTCACTCAGTGTTGGATCTAATCGTTTAATATTTTCCTAGATTAGTTATTGAGGCAAATTAGGAATCGTCACAATTATTTAACGCTACACAATTACTAGTATTACTACTAGACATAAGTGTAATAAATCTGTGTTCTTAAAGGATAAGGAGCCAGGGGAAGTATTTCAATTTAATACATGACTGCTGAGTAAACATTTAGTAATTAAATTTTAATTAAAATTTAATTAAAATGTATATGTACATCACCATATGTGTTAACTGTATTTAATTACAGAAATATTGAAGACTTGAGGAAGAGGAAATTTGATTTAGTTTCCAAGAGAGATGAGTTGGAACAAGGAGATCTTTGCACAACGTTCAAAGTCAAGCTTGGGTATCTTAAGGTTATAGACTTTTCTTTCTTCCAAGTTCTAAATGTCGAGTAAAACAATTTAATATCTTCTTGTTCCTTAACATTTTGATGTCTAAATATTTTCTTTAACAAGATTACCTAAATGCAATATATTGGATTTTTTACAGATCTATTCTTTTTAACAGAACAATTCTTATTTTTTAGCAACAATTCAGTTTACTTAAGAATACAGCCATTGAACTGCAGTCCAAATTGAAACTTTTAGAGTGCCTAGCAGAAAGTGAAGACAAGTGGCCTGATACCTCACAGGAAGGTGAATATAGCATTTTCTTCAGACAATTCTCTTTTGGTGAAAACAAGTGACAATTCTCTTTTGAAAATATACTTGACAAATTCTATTTTGAGAAATTATGTATATATCTCTTTATTCATAATTTATATATTTATTTCTTACTGATGGCAACATGACTCAATTAGATAATTGACATTTTTTGTAACAGAGGTAGGTCAGTCAGAAAATATTTGTTAATTGGGTATACCTTGATATTCTTAAGCTTTCATCTATGTTTTTTATAACTCTGTAGATGCCGACTTCAAAGCAGGCAGAGAACATGTTCGCGAGCTGAAGGAACAGATGGATGATAAGAAAGCAAAGTTACTGGAAGACTTAGACCATGTGGAGAAAGGTAATAGCAAATGATGCATATTTTTTTCCTCTTTTTGATAAATTGCTGTGGCAATTTTTCAGTTTTATTCCATCTTCATTTTGTTGAAAAAAAATTAATTTAATTACATAGAAAATAGCATTTTAAAGGGGTGGCTGATTTTGTTGTTAAAGGTCACCTTAGCATAGTGACAGATTTTCTGTGTATCAATTGACATGTATGGTCAAGATTGATAGACTCCAGAACAGGTTCATTTCCAAAAAGGATACAAGTTTATAACATACTTTTAGTGACTTGGAATTAACAGCCATAGCAGGAAACTGATAGACTAAAATTAAAACTAATATCTTTTTTTTTTTTTTTTTTTTTTGTAAATTCCTTTTTTATTTTTTTGATACATTCCAGCATATAGAACTTATTCAGAAAGGGTGCATACCTTGACAGAAGAAATGAAAGAAGTTGAGACAAAGGTAATCCATATTAAAAACACATTAAACAGAAGATTTTAATTTTGAAATTCCAAAGAAAGCTATCTTTAATTTTCATTCTTGTAGAAATGTTATAGAAGATAAGCCCAGGGATTTCGTGATTTGGTTTTAATGCATTAGATATTAAACGTTTAAATGTGGAAATCAGAAAAAAAAACATATGAATAAGCAGGTGTCAGTATGACAATAAAAGAAAAACATAAGATAGTTGTATAACAACTGTGTTCTTTGATATAAGTATATAATTTATTTCCAGAAAAGTAAACTAGACGCATCTCTCCAAAATAGTGCCATGCTGAATGAGAAACTAGGCTTACTTAATGGAAACAAGGAGAGTAATGAAATCCCACAATTGCCTTTGAATATGAAAGAAAAGGTAAATTGTTATTTTGTGACCTTTCTAATTCATAAGTGTTTATACATGAATTTGCATATACAAGACTATATGTCATTGAAACCATGAATCCATGCTAAAAGGTATGAAAAAAAGAGAAAAGAAAATTTAATGATATGATTTGATTAAGTACATACATTTATATTACTTTAATTTTATTTATTTATTTTCTAATGGGATTGCCTGTTCCTATAAGAAATATCTTGATCAAATTTTGATATAAAGTTTTTTTACCTATACCTATGTCCTTAGGAAAAGGAACTTAAAGAAGTGCAGGAATCCATAAAGCAATGTGAAGAAGCAACCCATGAAGCAAAGGAGAAAATGATAAAGTTTCAAGGTCTTAGTGAAAGATTACAAGGACTTTTAGGAGAGAGTAAAAAAGAACTTGAGGAGGTTGCCAGGGTTAAGAAAATAGAAGACCAAAAAGCAAAACGAGATTTGCAGTGGTATATTAAGTTTGACTTTTAACTGACTGTTTTATAGTTGTCATTTTGCTAATTTTTTGGGTTGATTACAATATTATTTAAATAATGATAGTAATTAGTTAATGAAATATGCACTAATACTGTATATCAAAGAAACAACATCAAATTAATGTACCTAGTATAGCTCATCTGTCTTTTTTTTGAAAGGTTCTTGATAATTGCAGGTATGACAAGGCTCTGTCTCAGATGTCAGTTTTATCAGGGTTCAAGGAGCACTCCGTCTCAGGAAATACCCTGACCATAGAATACATGAACTCGGGAGACAATGAAGACAGTAAACTCTTACTCAGCATGACATGGAAGCTGGGGAAATATGGAAGTTATGTCCTGGCCAAGGCAGAAGTGAGGCACTTTTTCTTGAGCATTTATGAATATAGAGTAATTGTAAATATTGCCAAGAATAAATGCATGACCATTCTTAATAGACTATAAGTAAAGAATAATAAATACAAACCTAGATTATATATATATATATATTTGTTTTCGTTAGAAATTTATTTTTTTCTTTCTAGATCAATTTGGAAAGTTTGGATGTTACTGATATAATAGATTATGCAGTGGAAAAGAATGATGTAGTATATATGATCAGTGAAATCCAAAAAGCATGGGAGAAGCATTTACCATTGAGGAAAGAAATAGTGGATCTTAGACAGCTGTAGGTATACTTTCAAGATTTGATTAGGGCTTTTTGTTGAAAATAATTCTGGGGCATTATAATAATGGTTGTTTATTTTTAAAAAAATTTTCAGTGATAACTGAAATATATTGAAAACTACTTTTTATCATTGCCAACTCCATACCACCATACAAACATGCACTTTTGATTGGAATGTTGGAATATGAACAGGAAGTGCTTGAATATTAGTTAGTCTTCTTTTTCACCTACCATAAATTTTATGTTAACCTATCTGTAGCACCTGATTAGTTCAATAGTCTAGAATAATTCTCTGAGGATCGCCAGTCCTGTAAGTTATAACTCCAGAGATGTCTGGCATAATCATATGCATATTTTAATGCCCTCTTTTCAAAGATTGTCATTGGAAGTGGTACATCTACTTTTATTATTAATGTCTACTGAAATAATACTGGAATTTTACTGTTCAGAGTCTGTTGTACAGGCTAAAAGATGGGAGTTTAAAGGACTGTCTAGTACAACCAAGTGATCTACCTGTGACACTTATATAGTAAATGATTTGTGAATCACGAAAATTCACAATGAAAGCCTAAACAGCACTATTATATCCCTTGAGAGCTAGACTAATTTTTTTTCGTGTCCATGTTCTCTTCTCCTGTCTTGGTAAACCTTCTGTAAACTTCAGTGCAGTATTACATTCTAAAAATGCCTGTGGCTCCATGTGGTTCATAATTACTTTCAGGTATGCCATAGATTGGATACCATCTGAGGGCCTCATCCGGCAAATGGTAGGGGAGGGAGGCCACATAGTATGCACACTGAAGGTGGACTCTACTGCACAGGGGGCAGAAAATGTCACTTTGGTCAAAGTAGAGGGATCAAAAGAAGATAATTTGGATAGCCTAAAGGTGTGGAGCGATTGCTCTTTTTTTAAAATGAATATGAAGCTCTTGTCAGTGGTGGTTTTCTTTAGTGTTTGTATGATTTATTTCTGTTGAAAAGGTAGTTTGTATTTGAGCCAGTATTAATAGTGTTATCTTACCATTTTCAGCCAGGTGCAGAGGAGCCTTCTATATATGAGTGGCTGGAACATTTACAAAGAAAGTTTGGAAAACCTTGAGACTTTCAAGCCAAGGAGGACAGCAGTCTTTTTTTGTTTGTTTTTTTTTTCGATTGTCTTATGACTTTGGTTGCATAGTTAAACCCATACATTTTGTTTGTGTGGATTATACAAAATTTTGATTGATTTTTATTAATTTTTTTTAAAGTTAATGAAACTTAAATTTTAAAAATCGTGCAAACTTGATGTGCATCTGTTTTTTAAAGCAATACAGAAAACACAAAAACACACTAGTAAAGATTTTCTTGGATGTCTTTATTGTTGGAATTATGAGTAGTTTTATAAGCTAAAATTAAAAAAACACTGATATTTTCATTAATCCTGTAAATAAAGTATGCTTATTTTAATGGATGATAGTTGTTCTGGATGGCTGTTGGATCTTTATTATAGAAAACACTTATCACTAAACACCTTTAATTAATTGGATTAAAGTAAAAATTTCTGATTGTGCAGCTGTTCAGAAAATTATGTAAAAGTCTATAAGTTGCATTTAGAATTTGTAACACCAGCCTTATTAAAATAAGGAACCCAAAGCATACCCTGATTCAAACTAAATAATTAACAAGGTATGGGAAGTATGTATGAATCGAATGAAAAAAATTTATTGATCATAATTGTTCTGTCACTTTTTATGTACAGACACAGATGTACAGATTACA